ATCGAGAGTTGAGAATACGAAGCCATCGCAATGCAGCCACGCAGCGCAGGCTTTACTTATAACCCGAGGTATAGGGTTTAGGGTTTAGGGCTTAGGGTTTAGGGTTTGGATCCTTGCACCGTAGCCTCTCGCATATCAGAGGCATCGGAAGTCTCGAGAAGCTTGACCTGGAAAGCTTCGGACAGTCCATCGCCGGATCGTCCGCTGCCTTGTTGAGTAGCCTGCTCTTCCCACTCTGCTTATCTCGAGCAGTCTGCAGAGAGGCATCGATTTACACTGCACTTGCTCTTGGGCCAGCCAGAACGAGAATATCCGAGATGTTACGAAGTCATGGCAACATCAGATCCTTCTGGAAAAACTGAGTTGCTATCAGGGGGATGTCGAGTTGAACGCAGGGGAGAGGCTAGGACCCAGAGTAGGCCCTTGGTCCCTTTTCGTTTTGAGGTGAAAAGAGCCTTTAAACCACAAGGGGCAACCCTTCGTATTGCTAGGTTACTCTAGGTTACTCTTGGGTCTGAGTCTAGGACGGATTCTAGCTAATGCCAGTCAATGGGTTGCAGAAGCGCAGAGGCGGCCCGAGAGTAGACGTACTTGCATGGTCGGAGTTGCACCTCCCGCGAGAGAAAGCGTGGCATGTTCAGGCTGCCTGGAAGGGTTTAGGGTTTAGGGCTCAGGGATGCTTGGAGGTTCATGGGTAGTTTTTCAAGTGGGATTCGATGTATGGTAAGTATAGGATACAGCCTTAATTTAAAGCACGTATGACACCGCTGCGAGGGCTGGGTGTGTGTGTGTGTGTATCTGCCTAGACAGCCTAAACCGGTGTTGTCGTCTGAAGCCACAGGCCAGGAAGTCCAACTGGCACCTAGGTAGCGGTTTGTTCCTTTTTTTTTTCATGTTTTTTTGTTTTCGGGGGGGTCTCTCTCTCTCTCGCTCTCGCTCTCGCTCTGGCTCTCTCGCTCCGGCCCTCTCTCTCTCTTTCTTATGTAGAAAGGGGAGACGTGTATGTCGACTGATTCTTATGTTCATGTCACTGTAGAAGAGGCTTGAGGACTCAGGGGCTCCGATTCGCAGACCTAAGCCTTAGACCTTCAAGGTTGGGCTGCTCCCCCTTATACTAAGAGTCCTTGATAGGGATTACAGTACCTACCCGCCATTTATGATCCCTATGAAGGACTGTTAGCTTAAGGGGGAACATCCTAACTTCAAGGATTTTTGGATTGCCGTCTAAGGGCCTGCAATGCGTCAGTTAGGGCAGGTGGCAGCCAAAAACACAACTTGGGATGCTGGCAGTCCTTGCTAGGGACTATAGCACCCCCGATATTATAGTCCCTATTACGGTCTGCTTTTTTTGGGGCGACCAACCCTAAACCCTGAACCCTGATCCCTGAACCCTGAACCCTAAACCCTAAACCCTAATTCCTAAACCCTAAACCCCAAACCCCAAACCCAAAACCCTAAACCCTAAACCCAAAACCCTGCCCAGGCTGGACATCGCCAGCCACCCAGCCTTAAGACCTGGTTCGGAGTCGGCAGCATCCAGTGCGCTGGAGGCTCAGTGTCTTACTGTTGGTTAGCAGGGAATAGGGGAATGAGGTATCCTATATACTCTTAGGGTTTAGGGTTTAGGGTTTAGGGTTTAGGGCATATATCACAAGCATTCCCCGGCCTTATTGACCGGGCCTCAGGGCAGGGCAAAAGAAGAGCGTAAGCTTGGCGCTGCTGCGAAGGTTACACCAGCAATTGAGGTTTAGGGTTTAGGGTTTAGGGTTAAGGGGCAGTTGAGCCACTGGGTTGGGATCTCAGGGGTCGGCGGGGGGGTGGGGTTCCCCCTTTCCACCTACGGGCGTTTCCGGCTCATTAAGGGTAAAAGGTTCTGTTTGAAGAGGGTACCTCAGCTAGGAGGGGAGCCTAGCTTAGAATCAAGCCTCCATGTAACCCTACTAAACCCCAAGCCCTAATCCCCAAACCCTAAACCCCAAAACCTAAACCCTAAACCCCAAACCCTAAACCCTAAACCCCAAACCCTAAACCTAAACCCTAAACCCTACACCCTAAACCCCAAACCCTAAACCCTAAACTGGGCCCCTATCTTCATCTGCGAGGTCCTGCTCGTCTGGGATGGCGGTGGACCAGACAGAAGCCTTGCTGCAGCATTTGTGCATGAAGGCATCGATGGGCTCAAGTTGAGGGTCCTTCTACTACAGTGACAGCGCTGGATAAGAAACCTCTAACTTTTGGCGAGGGTACCCTCGGTTTCTTTTCAAGCCCGCTCAATTTCCGGAATTACTGCCCCCTCAAATTATGAAATCCAGCCTAAATTAGAGGGTTTTGGCCTAAATAAATAAGAAATGCCTCCGACCCCCCCACCCCCCCTAAACTCGATTTCTTAAATTTAAGAAATCCAGCCCCTCGATTTCTTTCATTTAAGAAATCCAGCCCCTCGATTTCTTAAATTCAAGAAATCCAGCCCCAATTTAAGAAATCCAGAGCCTCGATTTCTTAAATTTGGGTCCAGCCCAATTCCCCCCCCCCCCCCCCTCAAATTAAGAAATCCAGCCTAAATTGGAGGGTTTTGGCCTTAAATTTAAGAAATCGAGGGGCTGAGTTTCTTATTTGAGGGGGGGGGGAGACTTTTCATTCGGCGGTTGCCAAAAATAACCAAATTTAAGAAATTTAGGGCCCAGGATGAGGGTACCCTCGATTTCTTAATTTAGTCTTGCTCTCAATTTTCGCATTTTTAATCCGGGATCCAGCCGCGAGCATGCTCGTTTCTTAATCCAATGATTTCTTAATCAGTGCTGTCGCTGTACTATGTGGTTTAGGGTTTAGGGTTTTTTTGGGGGGTTCTTAAGCAATTGGTAGTCTAAGAAAATGGAAAGAGTCCCTCTCTCTCTCTCTCTGTGTTTGTTTTGAGACGTCTCAGGGTAATCCGGGTAGATTTTTCTTCTCTTTCCGAATTTGTCTTGGCAGTGAAGCGACTGCTCGAACTCCTGCGGGATATGGTTCACTTCTAGGAGGAAGCGCCAGAGGTGTCTAGGATCGGTTCCCACTGCAATGCTGCTTCGCGTGCCACAAGTCTTACCTGCGCATACCAGGAGAGAATCATTATAGGACCCTGATTACCGGGGGGTAAGGTTGGGGGGGGGGGCCTGGGTGGTGAATGCATTTGGGTCCCCTTTGGTCCTTCTCAAAGCCGAAAAAACCTCAAAACCAAAACTTCCCACCCTGAGCCCCTACCCTAAGGCCCCAAGACCTCAGTATTTAAGGGTTTGGTTTATCTGCTTTGGGGCAACCCTAAACCCTAAACCTAAACCCTAAACCCCCTTATCATATGGGGTCTGGGGTCGAAAGAGCTAAAGAGTCCTCAAGCCGGCCGCAGGGCTCCATCTGCTTTCACCACATCGCCGTCTGGCACCAGGCGCGCCTCGAAAAGATCCTGAACCCTAAACCCTAAACCCTGAACCCTGAACCCTGAACCCTAAACACTGATCTGCTCCGGTTTTGACAGGGTCTCGAATCGGCTCGAGAGGCTTTCGGCTACAAATCCCCCCCCCCCCCCCCCCCCAAGTTTCAATCCCCCCCTTCCCCAAATATAAAATACCCCCCCCCCCCCCCCCCCTCGGCTACTAATCCCCTCCCCTTAGTTTCAATTCCCCTTCCCCCCTTCCCCCAAATATAAAATACACCCCGCCCCCCATATACTCTACTATATATAACTATAATTGGAGTTTTTTTAAATATTAGGGCGTAAGTTAGGGGGAGGGGATCAGCACGAATTTCCCACAAGAATAGAACCATGTCGAATCTTAGTGGCTGAGTGGACAACCTTGGGCCTTTAGGGGCATCCACAGTCCTACCAGAATTGAGAGGTTAACCTGTTTTCGGGCCAGGGCACTCAGCAACTAGTTTACTTGCCATGCCCTCAGGGTCCATGTACCTCATCAGGGTTTTTTTCGTGACTTGGGTCCAAAAGTCCCTATGAGGTACTTTAAGGCCCAAGTATTCCCAATTTAGGTACCCTGGACCCTAAACCCTAAACCCTAAACCCTAAACCCTAAACCCTAAACCCTAAACCCATGGATCCTCAGGGATCTGGTCATGAAGCCGCATTGCGCCTTGCTTGGATGTCGGGCGCGGCAGGCTTCGTGGATGGGCGTGGTGGACCACCACACCCTTGTTTACGCTACTCGCACAAGAAGACGAGGTAGGCCCTTGGGATATTTCATATTTTCCCCTTATTGGAACCCTAAACCCTAAACCATAAACCCTAAACCCTAAACCCTAAACCCTGAACCGCTTTAAGAGGATCATATTTAGGAATCTTTTTCAGAGGCTTGTGTGGGCCATCCTGGAAGACTTGCCCGAATTCCTCCGCCCTGAACCCTAAACCCTCAACCCTATGCCCTGAACCCTGAGCCCTAAACCATATACCCTGAAGCCTAAACCCAATACCCTGAACCCTAAACCCAATACCCTGAACCCTAAACCCAATACACTGAACCCTAAACCCAATACCCTGAACCCTAAACCCTGAACCCTAAACCCAATACCCTGAACCCTAAACCCTAAACCCTAAACCTGGCAAGCCAAGGAGTACTTCAGTGAACGGCGGCTGAGGAGCTTGAAGATTGATTGGGGCCGCGCGCCAAGAGGGGAGGTTCAAAAGGATTTGGGTTTAGGGTTTAGGGTTTAGGGTTTAGGGTGATTCTCGACAGTCGACATGGCTTGTGGATTAAAAGCTATGCCACTTTCATCACAGCTGACGTGAGAACAGTTTGTCCCGACTTGTTACCCTACTGTGCGGCTGGAGTATCCCAGCCGGGTGGCAACAATCAAGCCCCTGCAGGTTTTGCGACAGGTTCGGGGTTTCGGGGTGGGCAACTATGTAGATTTTCGCCTAATTGTTCCAAGTACAAAAAAACTCTGCCAGAAACCCGAATCCTGTTGAAGTTAGTGCAGTAATGTCTTGAGACTGAAGACCAGAGAACTAATTAAATGCCATGTTCATGAAGGTAGGCCCTTGGTACATTCCATGTCTTAGTTGTGAGTGAGTACACTTTACACTTTTTGGGATTTTAGAATCCCCTGTAGAACTGAAAGTGTACACTTTCAGGGGGCTTCAGAAGTCAGCAACTAAGTTAAACCCTAAACCCTAGACCCTAAACCCTAAACCCTAAACCCTAAACCCTAAACCCCATGCTTGAAGGTGGTGCAGAGGATCTAAAGCCACCTTCCCCCGCAGGTAAGGATGGCTTCTTCTTTGCGGACGGCTCTGAGGCTTCGAATCGGTTTAGGGTTTAGGGTTTAGGGTTTAGGGTTTAGGGTTTAGGGTGTATAGGGACCTGAAAATTGTGGGGTCCTGAACGGTGATAATCCCAATATAGGAAGTATAAGCGCATCGACAGTGTGGTACAACAGCCAAACTTACGGTTAACAAATTGGGCGAATGTTGCACAAGGTTCGTGGGTTGGGGGGTTGACACACCCTTGATACCCCAAAGGATCCATGTACCTACATAGTATATACTTGGGCCCTAAAGCTACTACATAGGAACTCCTTTAAGGCCCAAGTATATACTATGCAGGCACATGGATCCTTAGGTTACCGAAGCCACTGAAAGGATCCGTGTCCCGCGGGGGATGTCCTTTCCCGGAAGATGTGCCGCGTCACCGGCATGGAGGCCCCTGGCTTTAGGGTTTAGGGTTTAGAGTTTAGGGTTTAGGGTTAGGGTTTAGGGTTTAGGGTTTAGGGTTTAGGGTTTAGGGTTTAGGGTTTAGGGTTTAGGGTTTAGGGTTTAGGGTTTAGGGTTTAGGGTGTCCAACCCAGATATGCTCACAGTGTGCTCATAGGTCTGCGGCGAGTTCGGTCTCCGTTCACTACGGCTTCTGGCTTTGAGAATGCCTTAGCCATGTACCTAAACAGGGAGTACTAGGGCCTGAAGTGCTTTATTTCATAGGGTTTTTTGGACCCAAGTCTATAATCATAGGTACATGGACCCTTCGGGGTGGGTCTTCTTTGGCTCTGGTAGGACGTTTCGGGACGCTTTTGCTTACTTCGCCTTTAGTTGAACTTTAAACTTTTTGGGTTTCCTTATTTAGTAGGAATATTAAAGTTTAACCTTATTTCCCCGTTGGTTATTGGAGAGGTAAGTTTGGGGTGCGTCGGCGGGGTTCTTTGAAGCACTAGAAGGATAGCACCCCCCCTATTGTAATCCCTATTCAGGACTGTTAGTCTGATGCCTCTATAATCCTATATGCGCCCAAAACATCCCCAAAACCCCTGAGCCCCTGAGCCCAAGCCGTGAGGTCTGCCAACAGCGCCATCCTCAGTCCCATTTTGTGGAGCTTGGGACTTTGGGCATTTGGAGGACGATTACGACGACGATTACGACGACGATTACGACGACGACTACAAAGTTCTAGTGTGTAGGGCTTCATGCAGAAACATCCTCCGAAGTTGCTCCAGGCTCTGGGTTTTCATGGCCCGGGTGGCAAGATTTCAGGTGTTCGCAGGGGCGCGCCTCCTTAGGGTTTAGGGTTTAGGGCTTGGAGATAGCAACAAACATCCTTCAAGAGCCTGCGGGCCAGTAGAATCGGCCGAGCGTCTGGAGGAATTGGTGCGCACGGTCAAGATTCCCTTCGGGTCCATGCACTACGAAATGCTTTAGAACTCCCCCAAAAATAAACATATGCTTTCTTATAAGGCTGCATTATAGGGATTATTGTTTTACATTTTTTTGGGGGGGGGTTCTAAAGCAAGTTGCAGTGCCGAGGTTGGAGCGCGTCAGCTGGAAGAAGTATGACCTCATGAAGTGGAACTGTCAGCAGTTTTGTGCCGGCCTTATTGGGTGAGGTAGGGGACGTCGTTGGGTTGAGCCTAAAACGGTAGTGGGCTTGCAGTCATGAGAAAAAGCTGACTGACTAGCACTGCCACCTGGCCCGAACTCAGTGGTTAGCCTGTATGCCCCGGCTGCCCACCCTGCAAGGAGCCATAGATCCTGCCGGCCTTAACTTGCCTGCAAAAATGGGGCCTACTGCACTGTAGGCATGATATGCACATAGTTGTTTGGGTTTAGGGTTTAGGGTTTGGGGTTTAGGGTTTCGGGTTTGGGGTTTAGGGTTCAGGGTTCAGGGTTTAGGGTTTAGTCCTGGGCTTTATGGGTTCCAGGATGACCCCCGGCTCCTGCCACATCCAGGCCGGCACATGTTCGAGCAGGTGCCCGAGGTCTACACAGGGAGTGCCGCCACTCCGGGGGCTTAGCTCTGCACTTTCTACTAAGTGCTTAAGAGCCCCGAACAGAATACACATATTCTTCCTTATTCAGGTGAATATGGGGATTGTTACTCTTTATTCTTTTGGGGTTCTTAAGCAAGTAGTAGATTTTGCGCGGCTGCAACGAGCCTCTTGGGTAAAGCTGCAGCTGTTTCAATCCAGGGCCCGAAGTCACAAGCACGGCATACCTGCGATCAAGTTTGAAATGACTTGCTGCTGGTTAGCAGGGAATGAGGGAATTAGGGCCCTATCTATACCCTTGAAGGGATTATCTAGGGTACCTATATATATATCTAATTCAGGGATTATATAGGGTACCTATATATACCCTTTGAGGAAATTCCCCCATTCCCTACGAACCAACAGTAAGAGAATGGCACCCAAAGGATCCCTGTACCTATATAGTGTATACTTGGGCCCGAAAGCTACTATAAAGGAACCCCTTTAAGGCCCAAGTGTATACTCAATAGGTACATGGATCCTTAGGGGCAGCTCCTTGCGAATGCTCACCCGCGAAAGCGGACGGCGGAGTCGGAGCACGTGAGCGCGCAGGAAAAACGGTTTAGGGTTTAGGGTTTAGGGTTTAGGGTTTAGGGTTTATAAATCTTCCAAAGCCCCTTAAATAAGGCATATACCCTAATTCAGAATGATGATCCTTAGTATTAATTATAGTATATTCCTTAATTAAGGGGTTTTGGAAGATCTGGGCTTAAGTGCACTTCTGAGCGTCGCCGTGGCTATGATGCCTGCGTGTGCGAGGCGGCTCTTCGCGAGTTGAGGTCGTGCAGTAGATTCTGTAGAGGTGGCTTTTCTGTTAGGCTATAGAGGGCTCGAGAAGGATCAGGAGGATCGGTTGTTCTTGGAGACAGGTGTGGTTGCAAAGTGCTGGTTTTTCATGATATTGGGTAGCAGTGTCTAAGGTGTTCGACTTTTTCTTTGGGCCCAAGGGCCTACCCACGCTGACATGCGAACCCACAACACCTCTGGCTACAAGATTTTTTTGTTCAAAGAATGGGGGATGTTCGGTACCACGGTTGCTCCATCTCCTCTTACCCCTTGCTTCAGGGCCTGGGCACGTACGCATGGCACACGTGCAGATGTGCTCACATCTGTGTCTGACGGGCTGTCCCCTCGCAGGCGGCATTTTCTCGCGTTACTTCCAAGATGAAGGCCAAGTGATGGTGAGCAAACTAAGCCCGGTGCGAAGTTGACATGGTGTAGACATTGTCTCGAGGGTTCGACGATCTGTCCGGATGGCACTATACTATCACTATACAGCGTTGTAGCGTGTGCAGCAACTGACGGGGTGCACTCCAGGAGACCGCACATCTCCGCCGGCACCGATTTTCGTGGGTCCTGCGCCTACTCGTGCCGAACACGTTAGCAGCTGAGCGCTCGGAGGCCGCCATTGTGGCTTCCATCGCATGGCAGGGATATGGCCAGTTCTCTAAATTATGCTCCCCTTTAAATTGGCCTAAATAACAGGGGCCGCCCTTATAATAAGGACCCCAAAAAGGGGACCGTAGTTTAGAGACGTGACCATAGGGGCGGACGATGAAGGCATTTGGGCCCTTGCAGCGCCAGACCAGCCGCAGCGTAGCCGAGAGCCATGGCCCCCTCTCTCTCGAGATCCTCGACCTCGATGCTGATCGGTGCGGCCGCCACAGCCTGGATGACACTGGGGTCTTGGAGTACTCTACTTTCATACTTGTTTTTTGGTTCTGAGTTCCTATTCTAGCTACGTATACCTCGAAAGTATATACTTTTTGCCAGGGTCTACTCCAAAGCTAAGGACAGGCTTCGCCTTCACGGCCCCGGGCCAGGTTCGCACTTCCCCAAGCGGCGGGCTCCGTCAGGGGAACGTGCGCGGCGCCCGGGCGTCCGATGTCCGCGGCGCGACGCTCGGTGGGGCCTCGGCCCTGGGCGGCCTCTGCGTGACCGTGGCCCTGGTGCGAGGCGGCAAGTCCATGAGGAAGGCACTGAGCCGTGGTAGCCCAGAAATACCCTTTTCCTTTCTTTTTGGTTCTGGTTCCCCTATACAGTAACCAATAACCAACCAAAAAAGAGGGTGCCCTTGTTGTAAGATGGTTACTGGGCTACTAATAAGGAGCCAGGACGAGCTGAAGAAGATGGTTGGCTACAAGGCGGCTATATCCCCCTTGGGAATTGTCTTTTCTTTTTTATTTTTGTTTAAAAAGATAAGACCCAAGAGGATATTACAAAAGTATTACTTTCATTAAGGTTCTATAGGGGGAGTTTAGGCGGTGGACGACTACGTGCAGAGCGGCACTGTGATTGGCCTTGGCACCGGCTCCACCGCCGCCTTTGCCGTGGAGCGTGTGGGCAACTCGGACCCAGAGTCGGCCCTTCTTTCCTTTTTTTAGGGTTGGGGTTCCCTTATCATCCCCTTTAAACCCAAAAAAAGGTACCCTTTTCATATTCCTAGGCTACTCCGTTCCCTTAGAATCCCCTCAAAAACCCACACAAGGGTACCATTTTTATTTTCCTAGGTTACTCTTGGGTCCAGGTGAGAAGCTGAAGTCCGGAGAGCTCAAGGACATCATCGCCATCCCCACGTCCATCCGCACGCAAGAGCAGGCCGAGAGCCCGGGTTTAGGGTTTAGGGTTTAGAGTTTAGGGTTTAGGGTTTAGGGTTGAGCAGGCCGAGAGCCTGAACATTCCCTTGGCCACCTTGGACACCCACAGTGGCTGGGTCGGCTTTTTGGACATGTTGTGTTTTTCCCCTTCTATTGGGTTTTAGGAGGATCATATAAACCCTAAACCCTAACCCCTAAACCCTAAACCCTAAACCCTAAATACCCTAAACCCTTAAGAGGATCATGTCTAGGAGGTTTTTTTTTTCAGAGGGTCTTAAGGGCCAGCCTCTAGGTGATTTGGATGTGGCCATCGATGGGGCCGACGAGGTGGACCCTGCCCTGAACCTGGTCAAGGGTGGTGGCTTAGGGATACTTGGAAAATCATTTTTTTGACTTTTGGGTTTAGGGTTTAGGGTTTAAAGTCCGTTGCTCAAACGGGGTTAGGGTTTAGGGTTTAGGGTTTAGGGTTTAGGGTTTAGGGTTTAGGGTGTTCTTGCTAGGGTTCCAAGTTCAGTATAGGTGGCGGGGCGCTCTTTCGTGAGAAGATCGTTGAGATGTGCGCCAAGAAGTTCATTGTCATCGTGGATGAGTCCAAGCTTTGCGACGGCCTTGGGCCTGGTTTCCCAGTGCCCGTGGAGATCGCACTTTGGCTTCTTGAGCTTTGCTTTTTGGGTTTAGGGTTTAGGGTTTAGGGTTTAGGGTTTAGGGTTTAGAGCGTTTCGGGCTTTCTTGAGGGGATGCAGGCTTCTTAGGGCACCAGTGCACGCCTGAAAAGAAACCCCGTTCTTTTCTGGTTCAGCCATTGCAGGTGCCCTTCTGCCACGAGCACACCATGCGCAAGATCGCTTCCCTGCCCGCGTTGAAGGGATGCGACCCCGTGCTGCGGCTGGGAAACGTGGCCAACAATCAGCCGGATGGCGACGAGCCGGCGGTGACGGACAACGGCAACTACATTGTGGACCTGACGCTTGACTGACTGTCTGGCGCAGAGAGAGAGAGAGAGAGAGAGAGGGAGCTCTTCGGGGGGGGTCTCTTCGCTGGGTAGAAGAAGAAGAAGAAGAAGAGGCAGAAGAAGAATAAGAAGAAGAGAGAGAGATGCAGCGACAGAGACAGGAAACGAGAGAGTGAGAGGGAGAGAAAGGAAAGAACAGGGAGAGGGAGAGGGAGGATGCTCTATGAAGGATACTTATTGGGGCTCTCGGAGAACGTTGTATAGATTATAGATACAAGCGATCTCCCCACACCCTATTCCAATTTGTCACCCTATATTAGCTATTATGTCTTGGTAGCCCAGTGGTACCCTTTTCCCTTTTTTGGGTTCTGGGTTCCCTTATATGAAGTAGCCAACCCAAAAAGGAGAATATGGTTACTGGGCTACTGAGATGTGGACAGCAAAGGAAGTTCACCAGCCCCATCAAAGATCCCGTGGCTGCCGGTGAGCAGCTGAAGGCCACCGTGGGCGTTGTCGACCACGGGCTCTTCACCGGCATGACCACCGCCTGCCTCCCGTCAGGGTTTAGGGTTTAGGATTTAGGGTTAAGGGTTTAGGGTTTAGGGGTTTAGGGTTAAGCTTTTAGGGGTTTAGGGTTTAGGGTTGTTGGGCAACTGCAAGTACGGCAGAAATCCTTCAGCGCGTAGCTTCCGTGCCCAGCAGAGTAATTAGTGGCCTTCACACGGCCCAGCCTCCCGAACCGTTCGACCACGCCCTGAACCCTAAGCCCCAAACCCTAAGCCACAAACCCTAAGCCAAGCGAGGCATCGTGGCGGGCAAGGAGGGCATCATTGTCAAAGACTGAGGGCACCCTACCCGCGGACAGTCGCGAAGTAGAGCTTGTTCATCTTCATCTGTTCCTGATTTATCAGATAGTATGTTTAGAGGCCCTGAGGGCACGATTCTTCGGACGCGCATTTTCGAACACAATTTAGTCTGCCGGCGGAAAGCAAAAGGCAAACTGGGGACTGTGGTGGGCGTTCACAAGTATCTTCAACAGTTTTGCTTGCCGATGTCGGGCCAATCTCCAACCCTTGTGCCTGCTTAGACATCCTAATGACAGGTCGGCCCAACGACCAGATACTCTCAGGAATGTGTGGTGCCAGCAGTGTAGCAGGTCTGCTTGCTGGTTGCGACATTTCCCTAAACCCTAGACCCTCAGCCCTAAACCCAAGCTTCTCCTCCTTTGAGGCGTCAAGCGCTATCACCTGGACACCCTTTACCTGGCGCGGCTCTCGGATGTCTGAACATGGGCCTGAAGAGTTTTGGGTTTCCGAAATTGGGTTTAGGGTTTAGGGTTAAGGTTTAGGGCTTAGGGCTTAGGGACTCCTACAAACCATCTCCGAAGCCTCCAAGGACGAGCTGCCGGCACTGAAGAGCCGCATAGATCCCCAGGAGCTGGCCGCCCGGGGCTCACGAGGATCCGTCCTGCTGTAGTACCTGATGCACATCTATACATACATACACATGCATATACATGAATAAATAAATATAAACATATATATATATATGTTCTATATATTTTTATTGATTTAAAATTTATTGTGGTGTCGTAAATACATAAATGAGTATTCTTTGTGTATATATATATGCATACATACATATATATATATATAGATAGGTATATTGTAGCTAATTTAGACTATATTTATACACACTTGTGTAGGACTCTTAAGTTCCAACATGGCTGAAACTACCAAACCCCCAGGGCTTGCATGCCATGCAGGGCTTCGGGTTCTGGGGCAGATCGCTTTAGGGTTGAGGGGTGTAGGGTTTAGGGTTTAGGGTTTAGGGCTAGGGTTTCGGGTTCAGGGTTTAGGGCTAGGGTTTAGGGTTCAGGGTTTAGGGTTCAGGTTTAGGGCCTGGGTTTTTGAGAGGGGTTGCTCCAGCATGCAGCGAGTACCGGCTTCATAGGGTTGTGCAAGCATTCCCACAGCAGGGCTTTGGGCAGAGTTTAGGGTTTAGGGTTTTAGTAGGGTTGAGGGTTTAGGGTATTAGGGTTTAGGCTAGCCCAGTGGTTCCCTTTTCCGTTCCAGGTTCCCTTGTAAAGGAACCAACCCCCCCCCCCCCAAAAGGGGTATCCTTATGACAATAGGGATCCTGGGCTTACCAAGGCAGTGTCAAGGGAGTGTGCTTTTAGAGAGGGCCCCGCCCCCTTTGACTTGAGATACTTGAGGCCACTACACTGGAGGACGGTTGCTGCTGCTTTTGGCGCTTGAAAGCCCTAACCCAAAGGATGCATGTACCTGTATAGTATATACTTAAGCCCTAAAGCTACTATATTTAGGAACCCCTTTTAAGGCCCAAGTATATACTATATAGGATCCTTACGGTAAGTGCCAAGCTTCGGGTTCAGACGGTCCTGTGGATTCGGTGCAGAGGGCCAAGAAACCGTAAACCCAAAACCCGAAACCCGAAACCCTTTCTCGGGTTCCAGGGAAAAGGGTCAGGGTTTAGGGAGGTTCCCTTATCAAAGTAACCAACCCCAAAAGGCGCTTGGCCGGCAGCTGAGCAGCAAACACCACACCAAAACGGAGTAGAATTCGGGGTACATTTCCTAAGCTTCAAGCACCAACAAACCCCAAAGCCTAAAAGTCCTGCAAACCCTGGGCGCCAGACCTCACAGCTCCCATAAATACCTTTGAACCCTAAACCACAAGTAAACGTCTCAGCAAACCCAGGAGTTTCCCACCAGACCTAAACCTGAAGCCCGAAACCTTGAACAACGGTCAGGCTTGAACCCAAACCATGAACCCTAAACCCTATAAACCCTGTAAACCCTATAAACCCTATAAAACCCTATAAACCCTATAAACCCTATAAAACCCTATAACCCTATAACCCTATAAACCCTATAAACCCTAAACTTAAACCCTAAACCCTCCACTCCAGGAGCTGCGACAGCGGACCGGGTTGGGGCTGACTGGCCGGGTTTGCAGCACCACGTGCTCTTGAGAGTCGGGGTGTGGCATGAACGTTCCAGGATTGGCTGTTAGGTTTGGGTTTAGGTTTAGGGTCCAGGGTCTAGGGCTTAGGGTTTAGGGTTTAGGGTTTTAGGGTTTTAGGTTTTAGGGTTTAGGTTCAGCATAACTCCGAACTTCTCACCCTTCCTCTTCGCACGATCCACCTCCGACCCTATTCTAAGCCCTAAACCCTAGACCCTAAACCCTAAACCCTAAACCCTAAACTCCCTAAACCCTAAACCCAACTCAAGTCTGGGACTCACCTTTCCGTGGGACACGGCGGAAGGTCAAGCGCTAGATGCTCTCAATGGCGGCCTGGACAACTTCAGGACTCCTGACCCAGGTGGCCGAGGGCTTCGAGCCGAATTAGAGGGTCAGGGTTTGGGGCCTTTTGTTTAGGGGTTTTTTGTAGGGTTTAGGGTTTGAAGTTCTGGAAGTTTTGGGAACGTGTGGAAAGAAGCGGCCTCGCACACAAATGCAGTGCCCACGAGACAAGAAACGAAGCCGCAACTAGACTAGAGCGAGCTGACCCAGAGCACCCCCTGGCTCTGTCACATCGTGGCGAAACTCCATGGGCCATCCGGCACTTTTCTTGCTTGTCGTGTTTTTTTCGAATGGGGCGAAGGTGGGAGGGGGGGACGGGCGACGGCAAAGCAAAGCCAAAGATGCGCTTATAACTCCAAGTTACTCGGCTTCAGGCGGCACTCGGGTCGTGACTTTTGTTAATGCCGTTCCCAGGACTGTGGCCGGCGCGGCGCAGAAAAAGGTGTGGAGCCCCGAACCCTCGGCTGTGCAAGCCAGTTGGGGTTAGGGCTTAGAGTTTAGGGTTCAGGGTTTAGGGTTTAGGGTTCAGGGTTGAGGCTTTAGGGTTTAGGGGAGAAGCAAAAGGGTTCAGGGTTTAGGGTTTAGGGGTGGGTTTGCCTAGATGTGAGGCAGCCCAGAACCTGATCACACTCATTGAAAGCTCTACACCCCTAGACGCCCCCCCAAAATCCCTAAACCCCCCTAAAACCCCCCTAAACCCCCTGCACCCAGACCAGGGCCCCCCCGCCCTCCCTCAAACCACCCGTTGGCCTTTTGTTCTTGACGACCTTTTCGCCATGCAAGGCCATGGAGGGTGCCAGTGAGTCCGAACCTTAGGTCCAGCCTTTGCTAGGGCTTAGGGAGGGGTTTCTCTGTATCAAACACTGTGGGTTCCAGGTTTGAGGGTTCTGAGGGGGAACATCCCAACCTAAACCCTAAACCCTAAACCCTATCCCAAGGCAAGGGTGTGCTGAGAAACCTCACAGGATCCCAATAAAGCAAGCCATGAGCAACATCCGGCAAGGGGCGCCGAGCTTGGGGCGGTGGACATGAAGCCGGGAAGCCCAAAGGGAGAGGTTTGGGGTTTGGGGTTTGGGGTTTAGGGTTTAGGGTTTGGGGTTTGGGGTTTAGGGTTTGGGGTTTGGGGTTTGCTGGCAAGGTGATGGGTGTTTCCGGGGCAGGTTTGCGGCTTCTGTGTTGGGCGACGGCCGCCAGACTTGCAAGGCTCTATGCCTTGTTTCATGGCAGCCCCTGTAGTTTGTGGTGCTTTGATGTAACTTTAGATCCTTAGCCTTCTTGGGTTTGTTGGGTTTCTTAATAAGGCAGCTAAACAGCTAAACATTACATTTATAGCTACCCTGCTAAGTGCAGCCACGTGCAGTCCCCCCAATCAAGAGCTAGACTGCTCTGATTTGAACTGGTTTGCGTCTTCTTTCCTTATTCCTTTCCTGTCCGGCCACTGGCACTCGGACATTGTTTTCGCCTTCGGCTTGCAAAAACCCTGAAATGGCCGAAGGGGTTGACTTTGTTCGTTCCACACCTCTGGACATGAGAGACACCCGGATTGCCATGGTGAGTGCACGCTTTTCGTTGAAACCCTGAACCCTAAACAACAGGGTTTAGGGTTTAGGGTTTAGGGTTTAGGGTTTAGGGTTGGGGCAACAAAAAAGGGTTTAGGGTTTCGGAACCTTGTAGACTCCTTGCAGACTCAGGCCACGGCTGCAACGCGGCTTCCCACACCTCTTGCTGGAGCTGGCTGGGCCCTCGCAACAACTTTAGGGATACTTGGGAAGAATTCTGGGGTTTAGGGTTGTAGGGTTTAAGGTTTAGGGTGTAGGCTTACGTAACTCTTGGGCACTTGGCTTCCTACGAAACAGCAAAGATTAGAGTTTTTTGGGTAGGGTTCCAAGCTCTGTATAGACAGGTCGTTCAGGGCTTGGGGCGGCTGCCCTAAGGCTAATGGCTTTTTTGTTTGAGGGTTTAGGGTTTAGGGTTTAGGGTTGGGATGTTACCCCTTTTCCTTACAGTCCTTAGTAGGGGTTCTGGTACCCCCGGTGATAATCCCTGTGAAGCACTGTGAGTATAAGGGAGGAACATCCCAAGTTTAGGCTTTATAAGGTCTATAGGGTTATTGTTGTGATGTGCTTGGAGCCCCACCTTAAACCCTAAACCCTAAACCCTTGTGGCCTGCTGTAGATGGTGGGCTTTTGGCCCAAATGTCTCAGACCCAGATGGAGTTCAGGCCCCATGCAACTCTGCTTCTAACGAAGCGGCTCCCCCCCCCCCCCCTGCAGGTCAGCGTCGAAGGGTCTAAGGGTTTTGGGCTCCCTAACCCTAAACCCTAAACTCTACTAAGCCCTAGTACTTTAAAGAACCTGAGCCCAAAACCATAAGATTCCAAACTCTGAACCCCAAACCCCCAACAACGGGCGGCCAAAAACTGGCCCAAGACCGTCAAGCCCTAGAGACCGAGAGAACCCGAAACCCCCAACACGCTCAAAAGCTACGTGGGAGCGGGAAAAAGGCAACCCTAAAGGCCCTAATCCCCCGAAACCCGCAACGGCTATGTGGGGGCGAGCTTAACAAAGAACAAGCAACCCGAAAGCCCTAACACCCTAACACCCTGAACCCTAAACCCTAAAACCTAAACCCTAAACCCTAAACCCCCCAAAACCACTAAACCCCCCCCTTAAGCCCCAGACAGCTGGCATGCCGAGGTTCGCATCCTGGGCTTGGGCGGCGAAGGCGATGCCGGAAGACTCACCGGATTTAGGGGTCGATAGGGTTTGGGGTTTAGGGTTTAGGGTTTAGGGTTTAGGGTTTAGGGTTTAGGGGTTCATAGGATTTAGGCTGAAGGGAACCCGAGGGACCCTTTATTCGGGTTTGTCGGGTTTAGGTCTGAGGGTTTGCTTTTGCCCCCTTACCGGAGTCTTATAAAGAAAGCCCAAGGGAATATGGAAAATAGTGTCTTATTAAGGTTCTACAGGGGTTTGAGGGAGTAGAGTCTAGGGCAGGGCTTGGGGGATTTTCGGGTTTTAGGTTTTTTCCCCTAAGCCCTAAACCGTGTTTGCCTGCGTTTGTTTGTTCGTTCCTTGGCTGGGTTCATCAACCCAAAGAGCCCAATATCCCTTAATTAGGGAATATTGCTTTAATATTAATATGATTTAAGGTATATTCCTTGATGACGGGGTATTAGGCTCTTTGGGTAAAGCTTCGAGAGCCGGCGGCCAGGAATTTTGATCTTCCTGCATGGAGCTCAGTATGGACTTTGGCGTTTTGGGCGCCCGCCGGCGCTTTGAATAGTCATTCTGAAAACCCGTAGACATCCGCATGGTAGCAGAGCCTGATCTGCAGACTTGACGCCTGATCCGAAAAAGGCCTTGCGGTTTTAGTCGACGAAGCATGTGTCAGAAACTGGTCGGCTACAGCTTGAGAGAACCAGTAGTGTAAATCCCAAGCAGAACCCCTTCAAACCTCGGGATGTTGGAGCCCTTCTTTGATTCCCATGAGGCATTCTGCCAATCAGTTCGTTCAGGTATTCGTACGAAGAGTTCGGATGTTGCCCCTTATACTAGCAGCCCTTATTAGGGATTATGGCACCCCCTATCATAATCCCTATCAAGGATTCTTAGTATAAGGACAAACATTCCAAAGCAAGTGCTGCACAGTTTAGGGTTTAGGGTTTAGGGTTAAACCCTAAGCCCCAAAGCGGACGCGCTGTTCAGGGAATGGATTGATTTGGGCACCCTTGAGATTCGTAGCCTCTCGGGCGGGTTGTTAGCAGGATTTCGCGTTTTTGTTTTCTGAATTCCTTTTTTGTTCCTGTCTCTCTCTCCTCTCTGTCTGATACAGCGCGAGGTTCCCCATTACACCCAGTTAGATGACCTACACAGCCGACCCAGGAACTTTTGATTTAGGGTTTAGGGTTTATGGTTTAGGGCTACTGAAGCTAAAAACGTCCCTCGTCCGAGGCCGGGCATTGAAGAGATTTCCGAAGTCTTCGACGTGCCTGCACAGCCAACAAGCATTCCCCAGCATCGTTCGGAAGGGCCTTCTGGTTACTTTAAGAGTTCTTAAGGGTGGGGTTCAAGATTCAGGGTTAGGGTTTAGGGCTAGGGTTTGGGGTTTATAGTTATTTGTTCTTAAGGGAGGGGGGTTCTCAGGGGGTATGTAACCCAACGTTAGTACTCCCTACTACTCCCTAAGGCTCCCTAAGCTTCCCTAAGGCTCCCAAGGAACCTATCCGATATCCCCCATGAACCGCACCCCCCTTAAGAACCCTACAAGTTACTGGCTGTAACCAGGAACGGGGGGGGGCGGGGGGGGCTAAACCCTAAATGCTGCGGGCTTCTCCTAGGAGACCTTGTTCTGCACTACTCTGTTGGCCCTGTACAAAACCCAAGGCCTAAGGCCTAAACATAAACACTGAACCCCACAAACCTTGGACTCGAAATTCTAAGGAGCCCCGAAACCCTATAAAATCCAAGCCCCAAAACCCTGTGAAGCACAAACCCTCTAAACCCTAAATCCTGCAAACCCAAACCCTAATTTAAACCCCGTAAACCCCAAACCCTCAGCCCTGTCTGCTCCGAACCCTAAACCCCGTAAACCCTGCAACCCCAAACCCTAAGTCCTGCAAATCCCAAACCCGAAGCCTTATAACCCCTTAAGCCCTTATAACCCCGGAAAACCCTATATTCATAAACCCTAGACCCCATAACCCCAAATTCTAAACTCTATAACCCTAAACCTAAACCCTGGAACCCTAAACGCAAAAACCCTAAACCCCAGAACCCTAAACCCTAGCACCCTAAACCCTAGAGCCCTGTAAGCTTCATTGGGTGGCCTTGGATGATTGAGCAGAGCTGAGCTAAGCAACCGACCCGGACAGAATCCTTGCCTACTTCCGCGAGTGCCTGAGTCGAAGCCCTATAACTCTAGAACCTCAAACCCTCGAACCTAAACCCCAAATCCTAGAAGCCTACAACCCTCTAACCCTAAACCCTAAACCCCAAATCCTGCAAGCCTACAACCCTAAACCCTAAACCCCAAATCCCCGGCTTGCTGGGGAAGCCTCGTGTCGCAGGTACTGGAGGTCCTGGAGCAGCCTCCCCAAGAGCTGCCGGCTCCAGGTGTGCCCTTACAAGGTTTCACGAGGGTTTAGGGTTTAAAGTTTAGGGTTTTAGGGTTTTAGGGTTTATGGGGTTTGAGGGTTTTAGGGTGTAGGGTTGTTTTTTTTTTTGAAGGTTACATGGGGTTGAGGTCCTGAGTGGGCGTGCCTGCTGCAGCGGCATCGTCGTTTGCCGGGACGTCGTAGGGCCTGTTGAAGGTGTGAATCGGGGTCAATTCCCGGATTACCCAAAGAGCCCAATATACCCCTTAATTAAAGAATATACCTTAAATCATATGAAGGATCCCTACATAAATTAAGCAATATGTCCTAAGTAAGCGATATTGGGCTCTTTGGGCCAAGGTTCAGGATGAAGGGGACTGGCCGGATTGGTTGTCCTATGGCCACTATAGACTAGTAGTGACCTTTGTCGACCACGAGCTGTTGCATTGCATCTCCTATTCGAACGCCTTCGCTTCTTTCAAGCAGTCGCAGGGCAGCAAATCTGTCTTGAAAGGTCCTAGTCAGAAAGCATCCCATCTTCTGAAAACTTGTTTTCCCCGAATTGTCTTTGGCACATCAGAGAGTCCTCACGCGTGTCGATGATGGCGCTTGGTTGGAGCGTCACCTTCCTCGGCGTGTGCTTGACGGCCGGGCAGGTTACAGGAGCAAATTCAGGGGCTGAGGGTCGATCAAGCGAGGGACCCCATTCCATATATCATGGGCTGTTTCCTTGGACCCCCAAGGTTGTACCCTTGAGTTTGGCGACCCTTTTGAAGGATCCTCTAAGGGAATATTCAGGCCAGATTGGGAGTATATTGATAGAACCTCTTTGGGGCTACATCCTCAGGTCCTATGCTTTGGGATGTTCCTCCTTATACTCGGCGGTACGATAATCCCTATTAAGGACGGTTAGTATGAAGAGCAACATCCCAACCAAAAAGGGGGGAGCAGCCTAGGATCATGCCCTGGATCCTATGTATGTATGTATGCATGTATGCACGTATGTATGTATATGAGATATCATATAAACTATGGTAATAGGTGATATGCGTGTGTATATGTATATATATATATGTATATATATATATATATATATATACATGTATGTATATGTATCCATGACATTTATGCTGATAAGTTCAGGCACGCCCCGAAACCCTAAACCCTAAGCCCTAATTAAACCCTAAACCCTAAACCCTAAACCCTAACCCTAAACCCTAAACCCTAAACCCTAAACCCTAAACCCTAAACCCTAAACCCTAAACCCTACACCCTAAACCCTAAACCCTAAACCCTAAACCCTAACCCTAAACCCTAAACTTCTAAAGCTTTGAAGGAGATGACGAGCTCGCTGCCTACCACAAGCTTCGCTCATCGCCCCTCGCTGCAGGGGTTCAAGAAACCGTAAACCCTAAATGGGTGGGGGTTAGGGGTCAGGGGTTAGGGTTTAGGGTTTAGGGTTGCTGCAGTTAGCTTGAGGGGGGCAGGGGCTAAACCCCGTGGGGTATCAACATTTGGGCCCCTCGAGAATGAAACTCCTTAACCCCCTTGTGTTGAATCTAACTGATCTAATTGCAGAGGGTTTGGGTTTTAAAGGGGCTGTAGTCTTGTTTACCCTTGAATCAAGGTTCCTCCAGAAGGAGGACATGCTGATGAACGGAGCCAGCCTCAGGCTCAACAAGGCCTGTGATGCTTGTTCTTGGGCTACACGTATGGGTGGGAATGTTCGGATGCTCTTTGCCCAAAAGCCCTGAGTTGGTTCATTTCATAACTCCCCCCCCCCTTCCCCTCCCCCCTCCATTGGGTGTTCTGCCTCTGTGGGCACACTAGAAGGTGCATTGTTGCTGGTGGCTGCAGTCCTATGAGGGGTGCTGTGGAGCGTCTGTCTCCACAGTTAAAAATCCCTTGTGGCCCTTATGGGGACGAGTCTTTTTTGATTTTTGGGGTTCTTAGGGTTTAGGGTTTAGGGTTTAGCTTCGCTCGGAGAGCGATAGCCTGATCCAGGCGAGGACTCACGCAAGCCTGCTGCAAAAGGGTTTAGCTTAGGCAAGTAGCAGTCATGTTCATACAAACAAGGGGTGTGCTGTCTGCTTTGAACGGCTCGACTGTTTCACACAGCCGCGGAGTGACAAATGACATCCGAAGAGCATGTGTCCAATATATGGCAAGTGGCGACAGAGTCAACGAAGCTGCTGGCAGAACAAGAACTTTAAGTACCAAATGCTACACTGCTACACTAAAAACCCACTAAAAAACCCACTGAACCATAGAAAACAAAGAACTTAAGTGATCATCTTCAGTGCGGCCCTAAACCCTAATCCCTAAATTTAAACCCTAAACCCTAAAGCCTAAACCGGTACTTGGTGCCAGGTCGAAGAAGAATTCGATCGTTGGTTGACATCCACAGTTGGCAGCCTCATCCAACAGCAGCTTGCAGAGATCTCCTTGAGCAGGGTTTGGGGCAACCCTGAACCCTTACAACCGAAAGGCCCTAAACCCTAAACCCTAAACCCCATCATTTCTGACAGTCAGCAAGTCCAGCTTTCAAAAAAAGGGTTTAGTCACCCAGAGGCCGGAGCCAGGCAGTTTTGAAGCCTATTGCAAAAAAGAATATATATATATATATATATTGTAGTGTATATATATATATATGTACTAAGAGTCTGGGTTCGAAAGGGTCTAGGCACTGGGTTCGGTGTCGGCGCGTCAAAGAGTCCTGGTTCAAAAGGAATTTGGCAGTCTCCGAGCGCCAAGCGTGGGATGTGAAATTGTGCACGTGAAAGGGGGCCTCGTAATTAGCATAAGACCGTCTGCGACCTTTACATTGCCTTGGCTTGTTTATCGGCCAAAGCTGACGCATTGACAGGTGACATGTGTTTAATAGGTCGTTCACATGCTTTGTTGTCTTTTGGAGGCTGCTAGGTAGCTCGACCGTCCCCTTTGCACCGCAGCTACTGTAGCTGAAGCTCATTCAATGTGGGGCTTGACGATATATTGGGGTACCTTATGATAAGGGGATCCTACTATTCGGGGGTCCTTTTTTTTTGGGGGTCCCCTAGTTTTCGTAAACCCCCCAAGTGGCCCGCTGAAGGTACAAGAAGGAGCGACTGCAGGAGCGCTTCGTTCCGGCGACCTATTTTCCGAGCCGCGGCTGCGGATCGCGGAGTCGAGGGGTCTCCGACATACCTGAGTTAAAACTAGAAGCGTTGCGGCCGCTTAGGAAAGTCCGGTCCCACATAGAGAACACCACGCTGTACAAAGTCCTGCGGAAGATGCCGAAGGCTGGACGAAGGTCCCGCACAAGACATAGGATTCTGTGGCTTGAGGCAAACTGAGGTGCTGAGCAGGTACGAGTGTAGAGACCAGTAATGTTGTCTGCTGATTAGTGTGGCCCCCCCCCCCCCCTCACCAAATGGACCCCGCGCTTTAGTGTGGCCTCAACAAATGGACCCCGCGCTTTAGTGTGGGGGGGTGGGGGGGGGGGCAATTTGGGGGGGGGGGGGGGGGGGCTGGCTTTATATGATTTAAAAGGGATGAGTTGATATGAGTCTAAAAGGGATCCATATGAGTTTAAGAGGGATGAGCTCGTATGAGCTTAAAAGGGATCCATATGATTTAAAAGGGGTGAGACTGTATGAAATTACGGTTTTAGAGGGATGAGTTTATATGAATTTAAAAAAGCTTCATATGATGTTTAAGGGATCCGCATGGTTTTAAAAGGGCTGATTTTATATGAATTTAAAGGGGATCCATCTATCCCAACCAAGCCAGCCCGCAACAAAAAAATATAATTCCGGGGGAGCAAACGTTTTATATTATACGGCATTCGGGCAGCTGCTGGACTACCCCCTTTGAAATTTGATTGCCCGGCCTCGGTACAAACGCATCTTATAAGGAATCTTAGTTTTGGGGCTGGCCTGGAGACTGAAGATTTGAGGGCCCGACAACCTCAGGCCTCAAGAGTGCCTCAAGGTTTGCTCTCTTAGGCTCAGTTCAGAAGCGATTTCTAGACAACAACGCCATTCAACAGCCTCGCCGAAATTTTGCATCGCCCGATTTTTTTTTCACAATTCCGGGGGGCCTCCTCAAATAGACCCCCCTGAATAGTTTTTGGGTATTTTTCACAATTCCGGAGGAGCACACTAATCAGGATACAACATTAGGAGAATAGCGAGCCGGTAAGCAAAACTAGGTCGAGAGATCCGTGGGGCTGCCAACGGTCTTGGTGAGGGTTTATGGACGACGTCCGACAAGAGAAGGATGGAATCACGTTCTTTTTATCCCCTATGTAACCATATATCACCCTTTAAGGGATCATACTAGGGATTACGCAACAATTCCTGATTCCCCAGTGCTTTCAGTTCCACGACATCCGAAAGACGATGTGGGGGTTCCCGAAACTAGTGCACTGTTTTCTTGGGCCTCCCTAAACCCTGAACATCCCTGAGCCCTGAACCCTAAACCCGCCATAGCCGTTTCGCAGGGCGGTGCCCTGCACATACACTTCTCCTCCGCTACATCCCTGGAGTGGATCGTGGACAAAGGCCACAAGACAGCAGAGCTTAGTTACGAACTTGGGCCGCCGAGGTTATACATATATATATATATATGTGTGTGTATATGTGTATATGTGTATATGTATATGTATATGTATATGTATATGTATATGTATATGTATGTAGAGGCATGTAGTTGTTCGTCTATATGTTTGTATGCATGCACATGTGTAGGTAACTTCTTGATTTGTTCAACTTATGTATGGCCGCCTTCTGTCGAAGCCTGGCTGTATGTATGCGCTGCATGACGTTTGTTGTCTTGAGCCATGTGAGCTCTGATCCCTCAGTTTAGGGGTTTTGGGTTTAGGGTTTAGGGTTTAGGGACATGGAATTCGGAAGTCTGACATGGCCAGGACTGCTGCTGCCAGGTTGCCACGTGTACTGGCCGGCAGGCTTGGCATGGATTTCGAGGTCTTTGGGGTGTCATTGCCATAAAAGGCCTGGCCCTAGACCCTAAACCCTTGTGCGTTCCATGGTCGGATGTGAGGTTCGCGTCCGTTGACGCGACAGTCTTCGGAGTTGGTATGCCCAAGCCCGTGCAGACCCTGAAGAATAGAAACTCATCATTGGTTTGAATTCAACAAGTAAGCAGCCCAAGCACCCAACCCATACCTCGACTTTCCAAAGTGCTTCCTTACCGTCCCTATGGAGGGTCCCCCTTTCTAGAACCTAGTCTATAACGAAGGGCTGTTTAAAAGATCAAAAGAAGTCATACTCGTTTTCCTTCGGCGTTTGGCTATAGCTTCGAACTCTGCTTGTATATACTTGAGAAGCCCTGCGCCGCAGGTTCCCCGCCTTCCGCCGCCAGTCCGAAGGTACCCAAAGGAGCAGAGTGTGAGGCATTGTCGTTGATATAGGGGGGGAGCTGAATAATTGTGTTTAAAGGTGCCTTGACTGTCACATAGCAATCCTGTAGATCTTGCAGGGTCGAGGAATCTGCGGTTTTTATTGCATTGGAGTTTGAAGTTCAGGCTTGCCCTATTCCCTAGGAATCCTTGTACCTATAAAGTACATACTTGGGCCTTTATAAAGGGCTTCCAATATAAAAAGCTCTAGGGCCCAAGTATAGACTAGGTACATGGATCCCCTTAGGGATTTGACGACCCTAAATCCTAAACCCTAAACCCTAAACCCTAAACCCTAAACCCTAAACCCTAAACCCTAAACCCTAAACCCTAAACCCTAAACTATCAGCCCTCCCCCCTTCTCGCTTCCAGGAGCCCTGGCTTTCTTCAACGCCTCGCAGGCGCTTGGGCAGGTTTACCACGTTCACGCCTTGGGGCTTTTAGGGCTTGTAGGGCTTATAGGGTTACAGGCAAGTTACCGGGTTTAGGCTTTTTTGTCGTCTACAGTGTTCAGGGAGGGAGGAGAGAGAGAGAGAGAGAGAGAGAGAGAGAGAGATGGAAGCTTTCGGGGTTTTCTTCCAAGCAACGCAATAGACAGCCCAAAGGGAGAGGTGGGCTTGGCAACAAAAAACTGAGAAAGGCATGCAAAGACGATGGGCGCGATGAGGTTTACATGATGGCATGCTTACTGTGCGGCATTATAGCCGTGCTAACCAGAACGAAAAGGAAGAGTCAAAACACACCGAAGGTAAGGTTTGTCATCGTTTGCTTGCCTGCGCAACAGGGTTTCCATGCTCTCCCAGGTGCAGGGCTCAGGTGGCGTAGAAGCCTTAGAAGTCTTGAGGTTCCTGGGCCCTCAAGGACACGGTGGGTGGATATTGTTTTGTCAATCCACCGCCGGATCCACCGCCCTAAACCCTAAAACCGCACTTAAGACGGAAGGCAGTCCCCGATGGCTACCTCCCTGCCTCGCAGCTTCTGCAGAAGCCGGGCTTTCAGGCGGAGCTTTTTAGGGGTTTAAGGTTTTGGGTTTGTGGCTAGGGTTTAGGGTCAGGGTTTAGGGTTTAGAGTTTAGGGTGCTTCTCTCTGCAGAGGGTTTACGGTTCTACCATGCTCCAGCTCTCTCCCAGGATTAATCTGGGCTATCTCGACAAACCCGCACCCCCCCATCTTACACATCCCTATGCTGAGCATCGGTTGAGGTTGTTCCGGAGGACCCCCTCAACAGGGCAAGCATGAGCATAGCACGGACTCAACAAAGGCCATCGTCGTGGGTAACTTGAAGATGTGGGGGGCCGGTACGCGTGGTTCTGGAGGGACTTGCGGCGTTGTTTGAATTAACGGGCCTCTTTTGGGGCATGCTATAGACCATATGACACTTACAATTCGATGCAGGACCCCAGACACTACACCCTGTTAACCCTCAACCCCTTTACCCCAACACCAACCTGTCCCCAACGAGGCTGAGTTACTCAAGCTGTTGACCGTCCAGCCCGAGGCCGCTGTTTGAGGTTACGGTCTTAGGGTTTAGGGTGCAGGGTTTAGGGTTGGGGGTTTAGGGTGTTTAGGATTGAGGGTTGAGTGATCAGGGTTTGTGGTGAGGGTTTAGGGTTTAGCTTGTCCGAGACTGTTCAAAATAGGGCTTATAGGGGTTTCGAGCTGACAAAGGCATCTGGAATATATGGAGTGTCTAGTGGACCCCACGTAGATAGATCTTCTCTTGCCGGTTGTTCCGGGTATGCGTTGCCGGGTGGGCGGATAAGGGTTTTTTTGAGTGCGATAGGCTACGAGTGCTCGTGCACATTCAGATTCAAACCTAGGGTTTAGAGGGGCTTACAGAGAGCTTCAACCCTAAAACCCTAAACTCCCTAGGGTTTAGAGGGGCTTAAGGGGTTGAGGGTTAAGGGCAAAAGGGTGAAGAGAGGAGGCTGTAACCCTAAGGGTCCATGTGCCTCACTATTATATACTTGGGCCCAAAAGTCCCCAAATAGGAGGCACTCTAAGGCCCAAGTATCTCCTATTTAGGTACATGGACCCCTAACCCTAAACCCTAAACCCTAAACCCTATTTAGGTACACGGACCCTTAGGGCAAAGTGACACTCGGAGATCCCCTGAAGGACGAGCAGCTTACATCGGCGGAGATTTGGGCCAAGTTTGCCGCGCCCTTCCTTGAGATCCAGGGGCTTGGGGTTCTTGGGGTTTATGGTGTAGGTTTTATAGGGTTTAGGGTTTAGAGTTTAGGGTTTAGGGTTTAGGGTTTAGGGAGACTGTCGTTTTCCTGCAAAGAAAGCCCTAAACCCCTAAAAGCATTCAAAACCCTAGCCGCACGCATCCTCTGCAACTCGGAACAAGAAGATGCGCTGGTCTTGAGCCCATCAGGAATCTCGCCTGCGAGAAAGACCTAGCCTCAAACCCTAAACCGTAAACCCTAAACCCTAAAGCCTAGACCCTAAACCCTAAACCCTAAACCCTAAATCTCATCCCAGGACGTCTTTGTTCGCACTGGCCATTTCTTCACCAACACCGCTGCTGTGCAGCCACTGAGCTCCCATTCTCCTTTTGACTGGGGGAAAGATACGTCAGCTTGCCACCCAACTTTCTATGACAAGGGTCTAGGGTTTAGGGTTTAGGGTTTAGGGTATGATGTTTAGTGGTTCTCAGCTATTGTGGACTGTAATGGTTTAGACACCTTGTCTGGCCGAGACGGGAAGATCCCTGCTCCTAGCCGTTGTCGCGCAAAGCAAGCCATAAACTCTTCGTCGGTAAGAAAGGGTCGCTTGGAGGTTCAGGGTATATATATATATATATATTTTTTTTGTTTTTTGAATGAATAATATATTCAATTTATCAGTGCCAACAAATGCTACTTATGACCACAAGCATAGCTGTTTCTATAAGCCCGCTAAGTCCTCTAAGTGGGTTATGATGTGTCGACGAAAACTTGGGGTTAGTAGTGCCCATGAGCCTCTGAGCACTTCCAAGGCAGTACCTCCGGGCCACCCTCGAGGACTTCTTGGCGGATGGCGTCTCGCATGTGGAGTTTCGAAGCTTGACTGGCACATCTTCGGTGTGATAGTTCAGGGCTTATTAGGGTTGAGGTTTAGGGCCTTAGTGTAGGATATGTTCACATCAGGGATTGACGGGCAGGGGGGGGGGGGGGGGGGGGGGGGGGGGGGGGGGCGGAAGGGCGTGTGGTGGAACAGTGGAACAAGAGGTTCTAGCCCTGATTCCTGGTGAAGCACTCACAAACCAGAACCCTAACCGCTCAGCAGGAACCCTAAACCCCAAACCCTAAACCCTAAACCCTAAGCAGTTGAAAGCCAGCTCGAAGAAAACATGTCCGGCGCATGCGCCTAGTATGTTGTGGTGACGACTTCATGCGACGACGGGGGTGGTGCAAGGGTCCCTTTTTTGGACAAGCCTCGGTCGGCTGGAGTTCAACTACAGGACATACGCAGCTTGATTCAAAAAGCAGAGCCCTATCTTGACTTGGATCCTTGGGCAAGGGTTTAGGGTTTAGGGTTTAGGGTTTAGGGTTTCGGGTTTAGGGTTTAGGGTTTAGGGTTAGGGTTTACGGTTGAGAGTTGTTGAGAGTTTAGGGTTTAGGGTCAAGCTTGCCAGTGTGAGAGTCGCAACCCCAAAGCCCGAAGGAATCGACCTCTTCCATGACCAAGCCCACCTGTACGACCTGGACGGTCGTGAACATCGAGGACCTCGTTCCTTTTCTTGGTAGCCCAGTGGTGCCCTTTGGGCCCCTTTATTTTTTGTTGCCAATTTGTGAGAAACCAGGGGTGCCCTTTCCTGGTGAAGAACAAGAGTACGGTTGCGGTGTTATCATCTCTTGGGGCATTGCAAGGGGGAAGTTCTGTTTTGGGATTCCCCCATGAGGTTTCATTGCCTTATTACAAACAAAAAGCTGGCAACTTAATTCAAGGAAGAGTTCGACAGAGCGCCAGCAAACGCATTGTACCTAAATCGCGGTCACTTCGGTGGATTCCAGCATTCCTTCTCGAACGCTACGGAGCATTACACCCTGCACCCGACACCATAAACCCTGCACCCTACACCCTAAGTCCACAAGAAGAACCAAAGTAGCGCGACCCTTTTCTCCCAGGTGAAAGCGTGTGTTGTTCCCTAATACCCTAAACCCCTGAACCCTGAACCCCTAAACCCCTAAACTCCAGACCCTAAACCCCTAAACCCTAAACCCCTGATCCCCAAAACCCCTAGTCACCTAAACCCCTGAACCCCTAAACCCTAAACCCCTAAACCCCTAAACCCTAAACCCTAAACCCTAAACCCCTAAACCCCTAAACCCTAGCCCTAAACCCTAAACCTGGAAGCCAGGAGTCGACAAAGTCGACGTGTACAGCCGCATCGTCTCTGAGATGCCGCTTGGGCTCTGCTAAAGGCCTAGGCTATTCGGTTTAGGGTTTAGGGTTTAGGGATTTAGGGTTTAGGGTTTAGGGTTTAGGGGTTTAGGGTTTAGGGTTTAGGGTTTAGGGTTTGGGGTTTAGGGTTTAGGGTTTAGGGTTTAGGGTTTAGGGTTTAGGGTACCTGGAATCCCAAGAGGCCAGGCACAACACGACTAGTAACCCTTGCGGGCTTAGGTTTCTTCAAAGGTTTTGGGGCTCAGAAAGGCACAGGGTTCCGGGTTTTCTTATCTTGAAACAGAGACTGCCTCAAAAAGAGGCTTAGCATGAAGGGTTCATTGCATAGGTTCAAGGGCCCATTATGGCTTTAGAACCCTAAACTTACGCTAAACCTGAAACCTTAAACCCTAAACCCTAAACTCTAGACCCTAACCCTAAACCCTAAACCCTGCAGAAAGGGTTGACAGGATTTGTGACGCGGTGCCCGGCCAGGCAGAAGTCTGCACCGCATCTCACTGCGAAGATGTTTCTTGGACTCGAGAGCACTCGTCACATCCCAGGGGGGCAGGAATTAAGGGGTATAAGGAGGGACCCTAGAAAATAATACATATATATATATATTTATTTATTTATTTATACCTTATACAGTCCCTACATACCTAAGTCGTCTCCCTCCTTCAGTCCCTTGCAGGAAGAACCCTTTAGGGTTTAAGCCTTAGGTTTGTTATGCGATTCGGGTCTACTGGCATAATATACCCTATGCCACCGTTTGGGTCTTTTTTGGGGTGGTACACCTGACACCACCCTATAACCTAAACCCCAAACTAGAATCCTGTAAGGCATAAGGGCAACAAGCCCTTCTGGGGTTCATTTCGTCGCCCCCCCCCCCCCCCCCCCACACACACACACACACACACACACACACACACACACACACACACACACACACACACACACACACACACACACACACACACACACACACACACACACACACACACACACACACACACACACACACACACACACACACACACACACACACACACACACACACACACACACACACACACACACACACACACACACACACAAGAAAAACGACACAACATATGTATGCATATATATATATACATACCTATCTATCTATCTACCTATTTATTTTCTTGAATCAAAACACTCCTCTTGTTGGGTCATGTTTCATGCTTCGTGGTGTCATTCAGGGTTTAGGGTTTGAGGGATTAGTTTAGGGTTTCGGATTGAGGGTTTTAGGGTTTAGGAAGTGTTGGATTTAGGGTAAGATGAAGCTTGACGTATGCATCAGTTGTGAGAGACATGAAGAAACGGGTGACATACACTGAAGAGCAGAAACAGCCCTTTAAACTTCTAGCGGCCCAGGAATTAAGCATTGAACTACTAGAGGCCAGTAAGGACACAACTTTTTGGCCCTTGGAAGTATAGGGAGGTGTATCGTCATCTTCTTCGCAGCTGGGCAGAACCCAAGAAGAAGCGGAAACATCGCGCTGCGCAGCCTCAATGAAGTGCTACCCTAAACCCTAAACCCTAAACCCCAAACCCCAAACCCTAAACCCTAAACCCAAACCCTAACTAACCCCCCCCCAAAAAAAAAAAAGAAAGAACTCGCCTGCAGCCCCCATGCTCGCCATGGCGATCTGAGGATCGCCTCAAGCTTTCGGATGCGGCCTCCCGAGGCTTCGAGGGTTCCGGCTTTTTGAGGGTTGGGTTTAGGGCTTAGGGTTTAGGGCCGAATCTGTGCTATGAATGGTTTAGGCTTTAGGCTTTAGGGTTAGCCCTAAACCCCTAAACCCCAAACCCAGTGCTCTGATAAGCCCCCTCAGTCCTCCAAGTAGGTTCTAAGTGGACTTATACTTGGGGTTGACTTATAATTGGGGTTACAAGAAGACGTATAATTGGGGTTACAAGTACCCATGAACCTCCAAGTAGCCCTGTAAACCCTAAACCCCCAACCCTAAACCCCAAACCCTAAACACTAAACCCTAAACCCAAAACCCTAAACCCTAAATCCTCCAAACGGAACCTCCAAGTAGGGGGGAGGCTTCAGGGTTGGAACAGCAGCGAGGACATGGAGAAGGACCTCACCTACGCCTTCGAGGTGGGGACTTCCAAGAAGCCTTATAGTCTGAACCCTAAACCCTAAACCCTAAACCCTGAACCCGATACCCGAAACCCTAAACCCTGAACCCTAAACCCTCAACCCTGCCCCCTGAACCCTAAACCCTAAACCCTAAACCCTGAACCCAAGCAAAAGAAGCCCGAAACCCTCAAGGGTTGCCGAGCTCAAGGGGGGGTAGCACCCGTAGAAGGGACCCTTGAATCCCAAGCAGTCGTCCCTCCATTACCTTTCTGCCGGGAAGCATGGAGACGAAATGAACCTGGGAGTTGGGGTTTAGGGTTTAGGGTTTAGGGTTTAGGGTTTAGGGTTTAGGGTTTAGGGTTTAGGGTTTAGGGTTTAGTAATTTAGGGTTTAGGGTTTAGGGCTGCGGGTTGGGATGAGGGTTCCCCACAGGTGAAGAAGCAGCGGCCTGACTTCATCGTTGGCTGGGATGCTCCGGGGGAGGAGGCTGCGCGCGGTTGTTGCGAGACTAGGGTTTAGGGTTAGGGTTTAGGGTTTAGGGTTTAGGGTTTAGGGTTTAGGGTTTAGGGTTTAGGGTTTAGGGTTTAGGGTTTAGGGTTTAGGGTTCAGGGTTCAGGGTTCAGGGTTTAGGGTTCAGGGTTTAGGGTGGTAAACGTAGCTAAGCCCCCTACATCGTAAGTTTAGAGCTTACAGGGAGCGACAGGGAGGGCCCTTGCTGCACCATAGGCAACGCAACCGAAGTTAGAACATGTCCCCAACCATTTTCTGAAAATAGAATTCCGAGCGCAGGGTGCACCAGGCTAAACCCCAAACCCTAAACCCCAAACCCTAAACCCCAAACCCAAACCCTAAATGGCTTGCGCCTGCGAGTTGAAAGGACATCGGCCGCCCCACCTTGGAGTACGCCGCACAGTTGCTTCGAGTCCCGGGCTGAGGGGGGTTTGAACTCGCCCTCGAACTCAAGTTGCCTTGGGACGTTCCCCCTTTCTACTAACAGTCCGTAATAGGGATTATAGTAGGGTACTATACTCAATATGAAGGACTGGGCGTATAGGGGGGGAACATCCCGACAGATGAATGCAACAAAAAGGTTGCCTTATTTGGGGCCACGGAAATGAAGTCACACGTTCGCATGGGGTTGAGTTAGGTTTTGTTTTTTGGTAGGCGTAGGCTGTCTCAATGAACCCGAGGGCTGTTTACGGTAGGATTAGGGCTGTTTTTGGTACTTAGCAGCTGAGTGAGTACACTTGACACTTTTGGGGATACTTTCATCCCCTGTAGAACAGAAAGTGCACAGTTTCTTGGGGGCTTATGAACTCAGCAACTAAGGGGTACGTTAAGCTTCGAGCCGCCAGGCACAGAGCCGGACTCCGGAATGAAATGAGAAACGGGGGTTTACGATATTCAGGCTACCTTATTTGGGGTCCTTCGTGTAATTAAGGGGATCCTGCTAGTTGGGGGGCCTAGGTTTTCGTAACCCCCCATAGAAAATTTTCCCAGTTTGAATCGCACATCGCACCCGTAGGCTAAAGAGCTTGTGCAAGGTCCAGAACCTGTCGAAGGCCTACGGCGTTGACATGCCGTTGATGCTGCATGATGGGGAGGCACCCTGCACTGCGGTTTAGGGTTTAGGGTTTAGGGTTTAGGGTTTAGGGTTTAGGGTTACTTGTAGATATTCTAGCGAGCGGAATGTTGGCCAAGTCAACAAAGCAGGAACAAGTAATGGGAACCTGGGATTCGACTCCTTGAGGAGGGCCTTGTCAATCATATCTTGCCCTGACTTGTTGTATTGCGCATGCATATGCCACAAGACTGCGCTTTGTGTCGGGGTGTGTCTCCACACCAAGTGCGCCTGCACACGCACTCGAAGTCGGGAACTCGGCGGAGAGTATCATCAACAAGTAGCACCCCAAGACCCTCACCTCCGACCCTTCAGATTCTACTAAGCTATAGGTTGGCCCTTGGAACATTTTATATTTCCCTCGTTGGGGTTTAAGATCATCGTTCAGGAGTCTTTTTTCAGAGGGTTTTTAAGTGCCATCCTAGTGAAGCTTCTTTTCTGACCCAGAGCGACTGGTCGACCCTCAACACAGTGGACGCAGTCCTCCTGGGCGCGAAGCGCATCGGACACGGACGCTCACCTCACGGTTAGGGGGGGGTTTAGGGCTCAGGGTTAGAAAAACTGTTGGAGTGCTAATCACACCACAAGCATCCCCCCCATCATGCCTCTGCAAAGTGCCCTCATCTTCAAGCTACCCGAAATACCTACAATTTGCTTAAGAACCCCAAAAGAATAAACGAAATACATAATCCCTGTATTACCCTTATTGGGGTTCTTACTCAAGTCCGGGCTGATATTCCGTAAGCATGCGCTGAAGGTTTACGCGGCTAAAACCAGCTTGGGTGGATCCCTCAGTTGTTGGGTTTAGGGTTTAGGGCTTAGGGCTTAGGGCTTAGGGCTTAGGGCTTAGTGCTTAGGGTTTAGGGTTTAGGGTTAAAAGCAGTGCTCAGATTGAGTCCGGCAGTGGGCAGCAAAGGATTCAACATCTTGAGCCATCCCCTTCTCATGGAGGAGGTCTCGCGCCGGGGAGTTCTTGCCTAAAGCCAGAAGCCACCCTAAACCCTAAACCCTACGACCGCACCCTAAACCGGGGTAGCTTTGAACATGTTTTCTTGTCTCCAATTTCTGTTATTGCCCTTAATCCCCTATGTGTTCCTTATAAGGCCCTAAACATTTGAAATCTTCATTCCCCTCAATCCCTTATATAGTCCTTATAAGGCCCCTAAACATCTAAACTTCACAGAGTCCTCCAAACCTATCCCCTGTAGACCTTGAGGTGCGGAAGAGGGGGGTCGCCATGGAGGTGTGTCCCATCAGTACCTCGGGTCTGAGAGTTCAAAGGGCTTTGTTTAGGGCACGAAGAAGGGTTGGGGGTGTGCCCCCGATTATAATAGGGGGGGGGGGGGGTACTAGAATCCCTTTCATAAGGAGCTGTTAGTATAAGGGGGAACATCCCAGAACAGGGGGAGTCGGATGAATTGCCTTCAATAGTACTCCCTGAAAGGCGTCCCTATATGGTTATGCTATCATCACCCCCATAGAAACCCTATTCTTACGTCCCCTACGATAGTATGTTGGGGTCAGGGTTGCCTGATAAACTGAACCCTAAAGCCGAAAAAGACGGCAACATGTCAAAATCGATCGAGGTAATCAGGTCCTCCGCTACCTCACGGATCTCCGCATTCACCCAGGCTTGTACTTATAGTAAGTTTTTGGGGTGGATCCAGGGTTTAGGGTTTAGGGTTTGGGTTTGGGTTGGGGTTGGGGTTTGGGTTTGGGGTTTGGGGATGCAAGCCGGCCCCGGGGTAAGGTGGGCTACCAAAGTATCCTCTGCCCTTTCGCTCCAGTTCCTCTTAAAGAGCGCTTGAGATCCTAAACCCTTTACGAAGGAACTGTGCCAGCCAGTCCAGGGTTCTAATGCGGGTTTAGGGTTTAGGGTTTAGGGTTTAGGGTTTAGGGTTTATTGTTTAGGGTTTAGGGTTTAGGGGTTAGGGTCTTCCCAGTCGGCAGATCAAACTGCAGCCATGGTATGCAGTGGGGCTGAGCGAATTGCAGCCACACAGACGCGCTTGGTAAATATTGTACCCTGTCTGGGTTGGCATGGGGCTCATCCAGGATGAGCTTGTGCGCCCCTCCCCCCCCCCCCCTCCCCCCCCCCCAAAAAAAAAAAAACGAATCGAGTTCACACCATAGACTTTGAGCAAGAGGCCATGTATAGAACGTTGAAGGGAAGGACCCGGACATCTTTAACCCGCTCGCAACAGCGCAGTTCTCCAAGTTACTTTGGCTGTGCAAGAGGCGCCCGGATGATCGAGAATGGCTTGCCCGTATCTGGGACTGGAGCAGTGGGTTTCTTGAATCCTGTGTGGCATAAGTTCTGTAGGGCCTGTCACCTGTCTCGAATCAAGCCCGAAATGTAGTTCCTAAACCCTAAACCCCAAACCCTAAACCCTAAACCCTAAACCCTGCCTTCTTGTGGACTTAGCCTTGACCCAACCTTGCGCTATCCACAGCCTTCCTGCAAGGTGACGCTCTCTTCCGACGACCCAGGCATCTGGGGCGCGCGCGGGCTGAGCCACGACTTCTGGGAGGCCTGCAGGGTTTAGGGTTTAGGGTTTAGGGTTTTTTCTGGGGAGGGCTTCAGAGCCCCAAAGCCTCAAGCCCCTGCAACACGAGTTTGTTCCACACTCAAAAACTCCTTAAACTCCTCGAAGCATTCCAGCAAGGCCTAAACCCCAAAGCCCTAAACTCCACCCCTTGAAGCTCTAAAACCGCAAAGCCCTAAACAGCAAACCCCAACCCCTGAATCATTTCAAAAAGCCCTAAAAGCACGAGCCTGCAAGTGCTACTCCCAGGCCACGGTTGCGTGGCAGCTCAACACCCGCACATTGAAAGCGCTGGCTCGCAACTCGCATCTGGGCACACGGTTTAGGGTTTAGGGTTTAGGGTTTAGGGTTTAGGGCTAAAGGCGGTTAAAGGGTAATGAACATTGAAGTTGAGGTTCAGGGGTTTCGGGGTTTGCAGGGGACCATGCGAACCCACCAGGGTTTGCCCCAGATTGCTTACAGCACTCGTAGCTGGTTATGTGCATCAGCCCTAAACCCTAGACCCTAAACCCTAAACCCTACACCCTAAACCCTAAGGTTGGAGTACAGCGGGCTGACGGGCGCGGAGAAGGAGGGCGCGCTGAGGAATTGGGAGAAGGAGCCTGGCGAGCCCCAAGCGCCCCAAAGGGGGGGTTGAATTTTAGGGTTTAGGGTTTAGGGTTTAGGGTTTAGGGGTTCGGGTCTGCAGGGTTTAGGGCTTAGGGTTTAGGGTTTAGGGTTGGGGTGGAAGGCTTTTTTTTTTGGGAAAAGTCTGGGTGCTTAGGCTACTTTTGGGCCACTTGGGGAACCTCATGAGACGTCAAGTCCGATTTGAGGCCGCGGAAGCCGTAAACTGCTTCAGGGTGTTGACAGTGTTTGTTTTGGGGCTTGCAGGCCCCAGCCCCCCATTTTCTGCGGTGTATAGCTGGGGTTTCGGGCTTGGAGAGTTGTGGGCAACCTGGTAGCCCTATATTAGGATTTGTTGTGCCCTGTGCTCCTATGCTCTCATTGTGTACATCGGCCGATATTCGCCAGCTGCAGAAGACGTCAGGGGTATCTGGGTATCTGGGCTTTGTTCACACAGTGGATTGGGTTGGGGGTTTAGGGCTTGCGGCTATCAAGATTTTTGAGGTCAATACTTGATCCTGCAAGCAGACTTTTGATCAGGCCTCTTGCAAAAAAGGTGGGCCGTCATTTTTTGCATCTGCCGCTTGGAAGAAGCTTGCGAGCGCACCTTGCAAGGAGGTCAGCAGTCAGCAGCATGCTGGTTCTAAAAAGTCTCGCAAGGGACGCGGAAGAAGTGCCCCAGGGGTGCCAGACTAAGGTAGACGGTTGTGCTTGCGTCACATCGGCAGGTGTGAGCAAGCCTTGTGCGGATACGGGGGGGGGGTGCATGTCTGCACATGGTCTCTTGTGACTGACACGTGTGAGACCACCATGGCGGGGCCGGCGAAAGGTATTTCATGTCAATGTTACTGTTGGTAGTTTGTCATAAGCAGTGTGGACAGGACTTCGCGATTGGGCCCAGACAGGTATTGAGACACGCCAGATAAAGTTGTTCGTCTAGGGTAGAATTCTGTTCTGACTGTTTCCCTTATTGTTCATAAGTGATTTTTTGTAACATGCTTCAATCGCTCATCACCCATGCTTCCAAAATAGCTTCTCGAGGTAAGCTGCGGTGCTTTCAGCACTCCGATTGCATCATGTTGCATCCATTCCGTTTTCTGCACCAAAGGAAGGGCATGAAGTGCCTCTAAAACTTATTCCAAAGCTTATTCCGTAAAAGCGCATCGCATAACGAACCCTGGTGTTGGGAACGTTCTGTAACCCATCGCCTTACGCCTGCAACCTGGCAGCTTTCCAGCCTCCCCGAAAGGGTCCTTGTACCTCATCATGACATACTTGGGCCCCAAAGGCCTTAAAAAGGAAGTACTTTAAAGCCCAGGTATTCCCTATTTAGGTACATGGACCCTTAGGGCTATGTGTGAGATCAGCTGCAGGATTGGGACCACTTCATGGCGACGTGGAAAAGCCTCGTGTCGGATGAGCATCAAGTGTACGTCTGACAGAGCTGTCAGTCGAAGCTATTTGCAGTGCTCGTGCTACCACTTTGTCGGTTCAGGGATGGGTGATTCGACCATCGCCTTGTGCCAACCTTTCTGCTTCGGGCCTCCGCGGGGTGAAGCCACCGGATTTCTGAGACGCAATGCCCCGCGCACGAAGGTGCAGGGGGCATGTCCGGAAGAGACTGTTTATGGCGACCCTGTGTGTAAAAGGTGGGACCAATCAGACAGATGCAGTAGCAAGCAGTCATCGTCTCATCCCCGGCAAGTCCCTTGTAGGATTCCCCGGCAACCTACAAAAGCAGACATAGGTTTTGGAGTTCTCAAGGTCGGGTTGGCCCGACTGGCTATGGGATCCTGAACTTGAAGATTTCTGCAAAAACTAGGTGTGGCCGCTCTACCTCCATTAACGGATATAAGGATGGGACCCCTGGAAGGACCGTAAATCTTAGTCATAGTCCCCTATGTAAAACCGATATGCATTTTCTCTAGTCCCTATATACCAAACATGGTAGGATCCCTCTTGAACGGACCCCTCCCTTTCCCTTCTGGCACGGTTTAGGGTTTAGGGTTTAGGGTTTAGGGCTTAGGGTTTAGGGTTTAGGGTTTAGGGTTTGGCCTTGTGAGGCTCCAATCAGCCACCACGCAAATCGGCGTGTGAGCTCTGGTCCCAGCCAGTTTTTGAGGGTTTAGGGTTTAGGGGTTTCGTGTGAGGCCGAATGATGAACTACTAAGGTTCAAGATCTTCTCGCTGCATGGCGCGATACCCATCGATGAGCAGGAGCAGGCCTACAAGTCTTGAGGGTCCCGATGTGCCAAGTTGGATTCCAAAGGTGTTTGGCTGCCCTCGCTTGTGGTTGCTTTGAGAAACGGCGCTTCATGGCATCGCGCACGTACTTGCGCATACTGCGCGTAGTAATGACAGGTCCGTACATATCACTAAGATGTGCGGCTTTCTGAGGGCAAGGAGGCAAGGGAGCGTCATCTGGTTTCAAGATATCGGGCGTATATCACTAGGACTTGCATGGTTACTGATCTTTTAGGAGATGTCAGCAGAGCTGGATGCGTGTCATACTGCATTATTGCGTTCAGCGCAGCTAAGCCACCACGCGAGCTCAGGCCTTCTCACCCCCGTCGGAGAATGCCGTGCCCCCGTATAGGGGCACTCCTATGCTTCGGGTCAGTTAGACACGGAAATCCCGTTCTGGAGTTCCTATGGGCTTGGGGCCTCCTAGGGGATTGCAGTGTTCCGTCACGGCTTCGGTTGCTTTCAAGGCTAGTTCCGACTGCTGTCGTAGAATTGTTGTGTTTAAATCGTGGGGTCATAACATTCGCTCCGGACCCGGAGGATGATACGGGAGTAAGTGTGGAAACATAGGATGTCACCTAAGCTCACAGGCCAAAACTTCAGTTGCGTCTTCCGTCTCGGAGCTCCTATACCTGTAGACGATCGCAGAAGCTGTGACGCTGTCTGCAGGAACCCGGCTCATGTGTGGGCCCCCCCGGAGTTGAGGGTTCGGGCTTTCGAAGAGCCCGGTCTGCATGAAAAAGTTCCGCCCCTAAACCCTAACCCTAAGGCTCCAAGGACTCTTATTTAAGGGTTTTTGGGCCCGAAGGCCTTGTTATATAAGGTTTCTGGGCTGTTTTGAGCCTTAGGGAAACTACTGTGTACGGCCCACAGCCCTGATGGGGCGGCTTTCCAGCATCCCTGAACTCGCCTGAACACGAAGCTGGGTAGCCCAGTGGTGCCCTTTACCCTCAGGTTTTTAGGGTTTTAGGCTTTAGGGTTTAGGGTTCTGGGCTCTCTCGTGTAAAGTAACGAACCAAAACAAGGTACCCTTGGTAGTATAAGATGGTTACCGGTCTACCAAGGAAGACGAAGGGCAAAACAATGCCTACACTGAAGCCTAAACCTAAACCCCAAAAGGTCTGTCACATCTTCCTCGCCTCGAGCATTGCGGAATCTTCGGTGACCTTGCCCAAGGCCAGGTACAGTTGCCCCAAGTTAGAGACCATGTACCTACATAAGAAAAACGTGGGCAGTGCTTGTGCGTTTGCTCAGCCATGTGACTGCAGTGTCCTTCCTAGGTTTTCTGGAGTCGCGAGGTCTACTTGAAGGGAGCCATGCCGGCCCCATAAATGAGGGTGTAGGATTTAGGGTTTAGGGTAGGCGGTTTGATGGCTCATGCTGTATGGGCCCGAACGAGTTCGTACTTCCTAGTCGGGAGAGCACACTCTGAAATTCATATGCTGTGACCCTGAATTCCCTTTCTTGCAAACAACTTTGATCTGCATGCATCAGCCGCATGAAATTCACAATCCCGGGAAGATAGGCAAGTGCGAGTCTGGAAACACCCTTTGCGTGCACTTGTCGCCCTTTTCGGTGTGTCAAAGTATCTAAGTGAGCTTTCGTGGGCCCTGACGTCCGTGATGCGATGAGTCCAATAGCAACTCTGGTAGGCGGCCCCCAAGCGGCAGCAACTTTTACTTTTGAAGACTCTTTTCCCATATTCTAGACATTGCGTCCTCCGCTTCCCTATGTGCTTGTTCTGAGTACCTACTGTGGTAAGGGGGCCGGTTTGGGAGAGCAGGTTTTAGAGAATATGATCCGAAACCTAGGGTTTTACAGGTATACAGGGCTACGTGCCAGGGATTCAGAGTTCAGCCGCACAACCGCCACCCTGCCCATGGTAGGTCCGGGTGGTCATCGACGCTTGCCTCCGCAGGCATCTGGCAGCAGGCATGGCTGATGCATGAGATCTCAGGCTCCAATCTATAGGGGTCGGAATAATGCACATGGTATTCCCCTGTGGTCCCTATATACATATGCTAGAACTATACCCCCAAAGCCCTATTCCAATTAAGAAGGCCCCTATCCGGTATTACAGGATTCCACAAGGTCTTTAGGGTTTGAGCGCCGGGCGCGTGGATGCAAAAGCAAGGTGTGCGGTTTGTTGCTTAGTTGGGTTTAGGGCCGGCTTGCCCAGGTTCTGAAAGGGTAATTCAGCAATGTGTCGGGTCTTTTGAAAGCCTGGGTATGCCATGCGTTCTTGAGCTCTGGGGCATGCACTCCCGACCAAATTTTCGGCCACGAAGTGTGTGGTATGACCAATTGCAACTCGCCCAAAGAGTCGTCCCTTTTCGCTCCATGCCTCCTTTGCTTGAGTTCAACCTGCTAGCCTCAACACGCCTCGAACCCAAAACCCCTTAGCCTTAGAACCCCGGTGACGCATGGCAGGCAGATCGGAGCATGGTGTTCGCTGCTTGCTGACGCAGTGCAAACCTCATGGGTGACGTCGTCGTCCGTGTATGGCGTCGTGCGCTATGGCATGCTATGACTCAGAGCTCTGCGTCTTTGTGCTCAATATTGCTGAATGTTGCCACCGTTTGGGGTTCCTGCTTAGGCTTTCCTAGCGTTTGTCGCCTCTAGCACGTGAATGTATCGTGCACAGTGGGGCGGTGGGCGTGTTTAGGGTTTCGGGTTCGGGATTTAGGGTTTAGGGCTTAAGGGCTCAGACTTGAGCTTAGGATTCTTGGACTTTAGGTTTAGGGATCAGGGTTTAGGATTTAGGGTTTAGGGCTTCACCTATTCATTCGAATACCCCGCTCCTCAAGGCTCCTCAAGCTTCCCTAAGGGAGCCCCCAAGGTACCAGACCGTAGGTTTAGGGTTTAGGGTTTAGGGTTTAGGGTTTAGGGTTTAGGGTTTCGGGCAACCCTAAACCCCAAACACTTTAGGCCTTCCCCTGCTCGAGTTTGAGAGCATGTCGTCGATTGCCGGCAAGTACCCAGCATTGCCTAGGTGGCAACAACAAGATCTGCTAAACCCAAAACTCTAAACCCTGTTTCCCCAAACCCTGCCGAGTGGTTGCGAGGCTGCCAACCCTACCTGAAGCAAAGCAACAAAAAACAGAGCAACTACTACCCTTAGACCTAAGTCCTATAGAACCCAAGAGGAGCAACTATTGCCCTGAACTCTTAGTCCTATAGAACCCAAGAGGAGCAAGTACTGAACCCTCTTTAAAAACAGCCCCAAAGGTGGGTATCCCACGCGACTGCGCTGCAGCGCTCTGGCCGGGCAGGCCCAACTGCACAGGGCGAAGTGATGCGGCGGGGGTGCCTTTGAGGTGTTCTTACTGCGCTTTGGGGTTGAAGCTTTAGGGTTTACGGAAGTCCTTTCCCCAGCTGAGTTCAGGAGTCTGGGTTCAAAAAAAGGGTTTGGAGAAGTTTAGGGTTTAGTCTTCGCCAGCTGGCGCCAGCCCCCCAAAAGCGGGCCGGTAGCAGATTCTGTAGGACCAAAAATCATCCTAGTGCCTTTGATTTGTGCAATGCGCATACAGCAGTAGCTTCATGTGAAGTAGGGCTTATATTCCTGTTATTGGTGAATGTATATCAGGTTCCCTTTTCATATTGGTGAGGGTTTATATTGGGTGTCCGTTTAGGGGTACAAGAAATATTTACCGTACTTCATTAAGGACTAGTATAAGGGGGAATATCCCAAAGTATAACCCAAACCCACGCCTTCAAAAACAGTAACACAAATCCTACTTCATGTGAGTTCCTGAGCCGCAGCCTCTGGGGCAGGGCGCGTCTTCCCGGGCGTGGCGATACGCCTGGTGCCAAGGCGTGGGTTTGCGTTTATACCTTGGGATCTTCCCCCTTATACTAGCAGTCCTTCATAGGGATTCTAATTAGGGCGGGGGGGGGGGGGGGGGGGGCGGGCATTATAATCCCTATGAAGGACTGTTTGTATAAGGGCGTACTCTAATCCCCATGAAGGACTTTCATAGGTTCATGGGCCCTCAGGGCTTAGAAGGCTTGAGGGGGCCTTCCAGGCCTTTTCAGGAGGGCCGGCTTGATAAGGCTTCAGGGTGAAGGGCTTCGGGTGATTTTTTTTTAAAATCACGGTTTAAAGGGGTTTAGGGTTTAGGGTTTAAAACTAGGGTTTAGGGTTTAGGGTTTAGGGTTTGGCTTTGGGGGTTGAGGCTTTGGGCCTCGACCCTAAACCCGAGTCTCAGGCTATGCTGTCGGCTTAGATAGAGCAGGAAGAAGCCTAAGAGCAGCAGGCGTTCGCATGTTGCAAGGAGTTCCCAAGAGCAAATGAACTGAAGTAGGAGACTTGGTTCCTTCACGCGTGGAGGAGATATGTTAAGCGGTTTGTTTTCCCCGGGGAGCCTTAAAAGCCTCATTACAGGCCGTGCTCGAAACCTTATTCCTGGCATAGCCAATGGGGATACGTCCCTCCTGCGTAGGCGCTTGTACACCTAAACCCTAAACCCTGTCCCCCTGAAGGAGTTTCTATGTGCAGCAGATGGCGCAGTACGATCCGCCAGAGATCGAGCAGGCACCTGACTTTAAAAGCTAAACCCTATACACCCTCTAAATCCTGTGAACCGCAGCCGTAAACCCTAAGCCCTGGCTCTAGAACCCCATGGTCTGGAGGCGCCGTTGGAGAAGCTGTACCTGAACGTGCAGATCTTGGTGCAGGGCTTCAAAAACTAGTACCACACTACAGGGTGGGGGTGCGGACCCTAAACCTAACCCCAAGCCCCCAACCACATCACAGGGGGGGGCGGGGGTGGGGGGGGGTGGGGGAGGCCTTCCACATACATAGGTTCCTTTTTTCCATTGCTTGGGGGCGGAGGGGGCGGGAACGTTTCAAAGGTGAGGGCTGGTACTGGGCTCGGAAAGTAAGCCGCAGCCTGTAAAACCTTGGGGATCATGCTGTGAGAATCACTAAGTGGGAAAGTTGACCATGAAGCCTCCCTTAAGGAAGGACTGTTCGAGCGACGCAGCCGGCAACGCACAATCGAGTTTTAGCTTCGCTATGTTACCAGTAGCTGAAGCGTTGAATATAGTTTGAGTAGCCTTCTGAACCTAATTCCTAAACCCTAAACCCTAACCCCTAAACCCCAAACCCTAAACCCTGCGCCGCCTGCTGCCGCCTTTTGGCGCCCAAGCGCTCAAGCCTTTCCTGCATCACATATCCGGTGCCACGTGCCAAAGTGCCGTCGTCCTGGAGTCCAGCCCATCTTCCCTGCTTTGGCCTAGGCACTCGATCCCCCAACGCAAGCCTAAACCCGACACTTCCCATCAACACCACTACAGAATTCCCAAAGAAGCCAAAATCCTCCAAGAGAACCAGCGAACGCCTCACACTGATTTCAGTTGCCAGGGCTTTGTGCTCTGGGACCGATCCTAGAGGTAGTTTTTGCACGTCAGAGAGAGAGAGAGAGAGAGCGAGAAAGACATGTTCCCAAGAAAGAAAGAAAGACAAACTGAAAGAACGGAATAAATGAATAAAGACAGATCGCAAGAGAGAAAGAGAGAAAGAGAGAAAGAGAGAAAGAGAGAGAGAGAGAGAGAAAGAGAGAGAGAGAGAGAAATAAAGAACTAAAGGAAGAAAGAAAGAAAGAGCAAAGCACGCTACATACAACACAGAACAGACTTCCCCTTTCTGAGCCATCTCCATTTGTTATGTGCAACTGTGCAACTGCTTGCTCGTGTGGTGGGAGACGCGCTGCCTCACAGGGGGGCAGGGGCATACAGACGGGAACGGGGACCGAGAGCCAAGAACAAAGCGTCCCGTGGGGAGGGGGAGACGATGGAGGGAAGATATGGAGACCCTAAACCCTAAACCTAAACCCTAAACCTGAACCCTAAACCCTCAACCCTAAACCCTAAACCCGAGAGAGGGCTCCAGGGTTTCAAGTGTCGAGGTCTGTTTCAGGGTCCTACCCACAAGACAAGTGAAACGGGCTAGCCCTAAACCCTAAACCCTAAACCCTAAACCCTAAACCCTAAACCCTAAACCCTAAACCCTAAACCCTAAGCCACGCAAAGCAACTCCAAGAGGCCAGAAGCTGCCAAGTCATCATAAGGCTTCTGTGTAGCAGGACCCTGGCACGACCCTCTTCACGAAGGGACGCAAAATCATGCTTAAGAGTTCTGTGCCCTACACCCTAAACCCGAAACCCTAAACCCTAAACCAGCGGCGGTAAACATCCCAACGCAGCACAAGCACGCTCAATGGCGACCACGGGCTACAGCGGCTTCTACACCGGCTTGGCACCCAGCCTCAGCTAAGGCCGATGAGCCTTCAGGAACTTCACTCAACAACTCGGTAGGCTTTGGGACATTTTTCCCTTATGGGCTGAAGAGGGTGGCCCTAAACCCCAAACCCTAAAACATTGTGTTCAGGATTTTTTGTTCAGAGGGGTTTAAGGGCCGGGTGACAGACTGCGGCCACCTAACAGATCAATCTGGGTGGGTGCACAGTATGAGGATGTTTCCTTTAGGGTCTTTGGGGTTTTTAGGGTAACAAAAGGATCTAGGCTCTAAGGTTTTTAGGGTTGTTAGGGTAACAAAAACATGTAAGCTCTAGGACTTAGCGTTTCGGGTTTCGGGGCCTGCCTCCCCGCCTCACCACTGAGGCCTCGATGCCAAAGGCCGCTGTGCCGTCGCGGGAGTCGCCGCCAACGTGGCGCGGCTTGATCTTCTCCACTTGCCCGAAGGATCCATGTACCTGTGTGGTATATATATATATATACAATATATATATATATACAATATATATATATATATATATATATATATAATGTACCTGTGTGGTACATATTTGGGCCCTAAAGATACTCTGTATAGTATATATTTGGGCCCTAAAGATACTGTAAAGGAACTTCTTGAAGGTCCAAGTATATACTATATAGGTACATGGATCCTTAGGGTCGTTGGCGTACTTAGCCGATAGTTGAACTTGAAACTTTTTGGGTTTCTATTAGTCAGCAGGAGCAAACAAGTTTAGGAACAAAATAGTTTAACCTTTTGATATTCCTCAAGTGATAGGAGGAGAAAGTTGGGGTTTAGGAGGACCATCTATTTAGAGGGAACATTTTTTCAGAGGGTTTGCAGGGCCATCCTTGCAATCGATAGCGTCAACCATAAGCAGGGTTGCAACCATTGTCAGGCTCAATCCGCAATACGGTTCTGCAACCTATGCCCACGAGCACTTCCTGTAAGCGAATGAAGACTTAGTAGCCCAGTGGTACCCTTTTCCTTTTTTTTGGTTTAAGGTTCCCTTATAAAGTAGCTAACCCAAAAAAGGGTACCCTTATTCTAGTATGGTTACTGGGCTACCAAGAAGAGTTCAGGAGAAGAACTCGGTTGTGCTGCTTGGGGCGATTAGAGCAGGTCCCAAACGATTGAAGCAGGGGTCTCCGGTGGTGTTGGCCCTAAACCTTAAACCCTAAACCCCAACCTGCTTGTGCGACTGCGAGAGTCGAAACCCTAAACCCTAGAAACCCTTGAGGTCGGCGTCGGCCAGTCTGTGGCGCAGGCAAGACATGTTATAGGGTTTTTCAGGGAGGGGGGTTCAAGGGGGGGTATGTAACCCAAGGTTCCCTAATACTCCCTACTACTCCCTCAGGCTCCCTGAGCTTCCGTTCCCTAGGTACCTACCGACCATGAACCCCCCTCTACTCAAGTTGTTCAGGGCTGCTGTGGGCTGCTCGGGCATCGAAGCCACCCTTACACTCGACCCTGAAGTCGGGTCTAGGGTGTAGGGTTTAGGGTTTAGGGTTTATGTTTCAGTGGCAAAACGGGTTTAGGGTTTGTTTTGCATTTCAAAAGCGTTTTAAGGCTGCATTTTGTTAGATGCGATGATGCCATCAACGCACAAATAGAACTGGAACTCTTACCCTAAGGCTCCGAGTACACAAATAGCACCTACATTGGGGTCTAAAGTCTAAAGTCTGTCAGTAAGACGCACTTTGGGCCATTTGAAGCCTTAAGATTAGGGACGGGTCGAAGCGAACAAATGTCTCAGGCCGGCGGCCTTCCATACCTCCCTTCATAAAAATCCACAAACTCTCCCGTGGTGCCAGGACCTCACAAGGCGATGTCAAATCCACAAGGTTCCATATAGCTCTCAGAAGTACTTCCTCTTTTGTGACTTTTGGGTGTCCCAGTATGTGCCCTTGACCTCGAAATTAAAGCCCTGTTTGGTATACTCCTCATAAGGCGGCCCCGCTTAAATTTAGGGCACCCAAGAAGGGACCATAATTTTGCTAGACTCCCCAATTTGGAGACTAAGAGAACGCGTCCCCTGCCCCAGACCCGCACGGGCCTCCGCCTCAAAGCTGTCGCGCCCACACAGACGCCGCAGCCTGCCCGGGACCTGGCCTCAGCGTTTTAGGGGTTTACAGGGGTCGGCTCAGTACCCTTTAATCCCTAATCCCTATTTAATCCTTATAGAAAGCCTTAAAAGTGCAATGTTTTGAGGGGCCCCAAACTTACCCCAGTTTTCAGGTTTAGGGTTATATAGAGTCTAGGGGATTGATGACGCGGCCCTGAAGCCTGAAAGCCTTCAACCGACCCTGAACCCTAAACCCTAAACCCCAAACCCTAAACCCTAAACCCAAACCCCCAAGAAGCTCTTTGCCATCCGGGTGCTTCGGCTCGGCTCCCAGCCCTGAACTACAACCCCTTGAGAGCCCGAAAAGCAGAACCCCAATAAGCCGAATGCCGCTAAGAGTGTCATGCTGCGTGGCTCCGAGGCCGGCTGGCAGCTAGCTAGGCTTGGGGTTTGGGGTTTTAGGGTTTAGGGTTTAGGGTTTAGGGTTTAGGGTTTAGGGTTTAGGGTTTAGGGTTTAGGGTTTAGGGTTTAGGGTTTAGGGTTTAGGGTTTAGGGGGTAGGGTAGGGGGTTTAGGGTTTAGGGTTTATGGTTCCGGCTAGGCGTTGAGTCGGCCATGCTTGTTTAGGGAGCTGTGGAAAGCAAAGAGGGGCCCCAAACCAACCCAACACTCTTGCGCTTGCTAGTCATTGCTTAAGAACCCCCCTCCCCCCCCCCAAAAAAAAAAAAAGGAAGTCCTCCTTATAAGGGCAATGTAAGGATTATTGTTTTTTTGTTATTCTTTTTGGGTTCTTAAGCAAATAGTAGCTTGGTGGAGTGGTGAGAGTTGAAACCGGCCTGGGAGTGATTGAGCTGCAGAAAAAACTCGTGGTCACATGTGGGGATGTTCCCCCCCTTAAACAAACAGTCCTTAACAGGGATTATAGTACCCCCTATTATCATCCCTATTACTGTTACCATAAGGGGAAACATCCCAACTCACATGGTTTGTGCTGAAAACGGGCCTAGAAGGCAGTGTGCCGGCATGAGGCGCCACCTGCTGTGCCGCCCCACATCTTCCTCAAGCACCCACTCGAGCTAGAGGCCCCTGGTGCAGGTCCTTCGCCTTAATAAACCCTAAACCCTAAACCCTAAACCCGAAACCGCGCACTGAACCTCGAACGCCTGGGCGGCTACGTACCTGTAAGACCCAGGATGCCCCCCAAGTCTTGTAGAACTCCTTGTTTTCGGATAAGGAAAGAAGACTTTGGGAGAACCCGGCACTCTACCCGCCCCACATTCCGTGTGGTAAGCCCCAATTCCTCAACATCCAGTTTGGGTATTTCCCAAAGTTGCGGTACCAGATACTCCCTTGCATACCCTAGAATCCTGATTATCGGAACCCCCCAAAATGGGCACAAGCCTATTTCCGGAAACCCCCATATCCTAGGACTTAGAGTGGGCCTTTTTGGGGCTTAGGTTCCCTGACCCTGACAAGCCCCTCTAAGCCAAAAAGGCATCCTTTCTGTACCTGGGTTTCTCTTGGGTCTAGTGTCGGACCGAGTTCTCAACTTTGTGACGCACCCTGAGCCCCTCCCTTAGGCTAGAGTCTTCTTTTGAAATCGTGAGTTCACTCTAAAACTTCTACAGATCAATTCTTAAGAAAGTCAGCCTACATCTGTAAAACCCCACAACTATCCTAAACCTAACGCCCATAACCTCGAAAGCTACGTGCTTCAGACCCCCCTGCCCGACAAGGGCAGCATGCCAGCGCAGAGCCGCATCAGTTTTTTTCCCTGCCCCGGAACCCTAAACCCCAAACCCTAAACCCTAAACACTAAACCCGAAACCCGAAACCCAACCGAACAATTTTCAGACCTTAGTGGGCCTAAAACCCTAAACCTTTGTTTCGGGTTTGCGGGTCGGGCCTACTGGGGTTTAAGGCTTGGGGTTTCTCCAAGATTGGGTTCAAAAGGGTTTGGGGGTAGAGGGTTTACTGGCAAAAGGGTTTCGGGTTCCCAACCCGAAACACTCAAAGCGGACTCGCCGGGCCAGCGCAGTCGTGGCCGGTCAACAACCGCCAAACCGAAATCTAAACCCAAAGAGCCCAATACCCCTTAAGAAAGGAATATACCTTAAACCATATCAAGGATCCCTATATAAATTCAGCAAGATTCTCCCTAATCAAGGGATATTGGGCTCTTTGGGTATATACACCCCAACACCCTCAGCCCTCATACAGACTCATACACCTGTAGAAGCCCGATTCACGACCAAGCAGGTCATGAGCGCAGCCAAACTTTGGCAGCTAGCCCAGCACCTCCAATCGATGGGAGGCCTGTGGGTTATTGGACTCATGCTGGGACCGCTTACAGGGTTTAGGGTTTAGGGCCTAAAGTTTAGGGAAGGTAGCCTTTAACCTTTCTTGGGTAGCACACATCCTTGTGCGCGTCTGCCGCTGGACGTGGGGGAGACTCGGACAAGTTGATGTCCGGGTGGTCCCTGTCGGGTCATGAAAAATGTTGGGGCCACTGTCCCTAAACCCAAAACCCTAAACCCTAAAAAAGAACCCTAAACCCGAGACTAATTTTATCATGATCTGCACCACGTCCTCCCAGTCTCGGGCCCTACGACTGCCAGTCGTTCCCTAAGGCTCCAGGTACATGACTCTTATACACTTGGGCCCCAAAGCCTCTCTGGATCAAGTGTTCCCTATTTAGGTACATGGACCCTTGGGATAGCCGCAGCTGATGCTCATGATGCTCGCTTGGGTAGCCCGACTCTTGAAGGACATGCTCCTCGCTTTGGGGGCAAGCTTCTGAAGGCCAATTGGAGCTGATGCTCATGATGCGCGCTTTGGCTGCCCGACAGTCACAGCTGATGCTCATGATGCTCGCTTTGGCTGCCCGACTCCTGAAGGACAGTCGCAGCTGATGCTCATGATGCTCGCTTTGGGCGCCCGACTCGGGAAGGACAGTCGCAGCTGATGCTCATGATGCTCGCTTTGGGGGCCCGAGCCTGGAAGGACAGTCGCAGCTGATGCTCATGATGCTCCCTTTGGGGCCCGACCAAGGAAGGACAGTCGCAGCTGATGCTCATGATGCTCGCTTTGGGCGCCCGACTCGGGAAGGACAGTCGCAGCTGATGCTCATGATGCTCGCTTTGGGGCCCGACTGGAAGGACAGTCGCAGCTGATGCTCATGATGTTCGCTTTGGGCGCCCGACTCGGAAAGGACAGTCGCAGCTGATGCTCATGATGCTCGCTTTGGGGCCCGACTGGAAGGACAGTCGCAGCTGATGCTCATGATGCTCGCTTTGGGACCAGACCCTGGAAGGACAGTCGCAGCTGATGCTCATGATGCTCGCTTTGGGCGCCCGACTCGGGAAGGACAGTCGCAGCTGATGCTCATGATGCTCGCTTTGGGGCCCGACCCTGGAAGGACAGTCGCAGCTGATGCTCATGATGCTCGCTTTGGGGCCCGAGCCTGGAAGGACAGTCGCAGCTGATGCTCATGATGCTCGCTTTGGGCGCCCGACTCGGGAAGGACAGTCGCAGCTGATGCTCATGATGCTCGCTTTGGGGCCCGACTGGGGAAGGACAGTCGCAGCTGATGCTCATGATGCTCGCTTTGGGGCCCGACTCGGGAAGGACGGTCGCAGCTGATGCTCATGATGCTCGCTTTGGGGCCCGACCCTGGAAGGACGGTCGCAGCTGATGCTCATGATGCTCGCTTTCGGGCCCGACCCTGGAAGGACAGTCGCAGCTGATGCTCATGATGCTCGCTTTGGGCGCCCGACTCGGGAAGGACAGTCGCAGCTGATGCTCATGATGCTCGCTTTGGGGCCCGACCCTGGAAGGACAGTCGCAGCTGATGCTCATGATGCTCGCTTTGGGGCCCGACCCTGGAAGGATAGTCGCAGCTGATGCTCATGATGCTCGCTTTGGGGCCCGACCCTGGAAGGACAGTCGCAGCTGATGCTCATGATGCTCGCTTTGCTTTGGGCGCCCGACTCGGGAAGGACAGTCGCAGCTGATGCTCATGATGCTCGCTTTGGGGCCCGACCCTGGAAGGACCGTCGCAGCTGATGCTCATGATGCTCGCTTTGGGGCCCGACCCTGGAATGACAGTCGCAGCTGATGCTCATGATGCTCGCTTTGGGCGCCCGACTCGGGAAGGACTGTCGCAGCTGATGCTCATGATGCTCGCTTTGGGCGCCCGACTCGGGAAGGACAGTCGCAGCTGATGATCATGATGCTCGCTTTGGGGCCCGACTCGGGAAGGACAGTCGCAGCTGATGCTCATGATGCTCGCTTGGGGCGCCCGACCCTGGAAGGACAGTCGCAGCTGACGCTCATGATGCTGCTGATGCTCATGATGCGCTGTGGTTGCCCGACTCCTGAAGAGCGGTACGTCCCAAAGGTGAATCCATGGGCAAGACTGAACACGTGGGATAACCGCTCGATAAAAGGGGCAAACGACCAAGGCATGAAGAGGTCTCAAAGCGTGACAGGGAGGGAGCCATTAACCTTTACTTTTCCTTCTCGCATGTTAAAATATTATTGTATCCTCACGCGCTAATAAATCAGTTGCAACTGACATGCCCGAGTTAGTAAAAGAAAGTGTGTGAACGAAACGAAGAAGTTAATGTGGGCTCTTCAAAGATCTTGATTCGCGCGCCCCATAACATTACAATGCGGGCTAGTGATGGTGTTGTTATTCGTATTATTACCACCATGACAACTTCACTTCGAACAAAAAGTGACTTTTCGCATTCTTAGTGTATCAGTTCCCCAAAGAGCCCAATACCCCTTAACTAAGGGATAGACCTTAATTAAATCAGATTAAGGGTCCCTAGATAAATGAAGCAATATTCCCTAATTAAGGGATATTGGGCTCTTTGGGTCTATAAGATCTTCTTGTTCCGGCAGACAAAAATGGAACCACGGCTCCATATGTTCAACGCAGGATGCTCGCTTCGAGGGCGGGGCAGCTCCTGTCGCAGCTGCTGCTCATGATGCTCGCTCGCGGTGTAGGGTTCAGGGTTTAGGGTTTAGGGTTTAGGGTTTAGGGTTTAGGGTTTAGGGTTTAGGGTTTAGGGTTTAGGGGGCTGACGCCAGGTGCACACCAGGGCCTCTAGGGGCCTGTACCCGAAGCCTTGAACCCTAGACTCATCATAGCACCGCCAGGCTAGGGTTTAGGGTTTAGGGTTTAGGGTTTAGGGTTTAGGGTTTAGGGTTTAGGGTTTAGGGTTTAGGGTTTAGGGTTCAGGGTTCAGGGTTCAGGGTTCAGGGTTCAGGGTTTACTGCTGGCAGGAGGGACCTTGCCGGTCCTACCCTCGCACCGCCAAGAATTGGAAGAGTGGGTCCTGAAGGCTGGATGCGGTTTTGGGGGTTACAGGGTGGGGCCCCCTAGTTATAAGTAGAGTTATAAGGGCCCTAAATTGGGTTATAAGGACCCTAAGTTAGGTTATAAGTCCCTTAGCTACAGTTAGTATAGTAAGGGGGCCCCACCCTGTAGCAGGGCTTGAGGCAGAGGACTTTGTGTTTTTTTCATTGTTCTGCTTTGCCTTAATGGGTTTAAGAGGATCTTAGCTGGTTTAGGGTTTTGGGAGCTTTGCCCGTGGGTCGAGGGTTTTCGGGTTTTGAGTTCGGCTAAGGTTTAGGTGTTGTGTTCTTTTTATGTGAAGAGCTGTGGGTGATGAGTTTGTGGACGATCATGAGATGACTACGGCAGAAAACGTAAATGCTTTCCCTTCGTCCCTATGCTCCATTCTTGCTGTAAGGGCTGGTACCATGGCTTTTTACTCCTTCAGCCCTGACATCCTACCTCAAAATAGCACAGGAAAGCTACCGGCACCCATTCTAAACTCTGGCCCTTACAAACCCTACAAAAACCTAGTCCCTACAAGCCTATAAGCCCTAAACCCCGTGCCCAAAACCACGCATCCCTCTATAAACCCATATCCACCCTAGATGACCGTGGGGTCACCCGAACCCTAAACCCTAAACCCTAAACCCTAAACCCTAAACCCTAAACCCTAAACCCTAAACCCTAAACCCGAAGCAGGCCCAGCAGATCTTGGGGGCCACACCCGGCACCCAAGCTGCGGGCGCTCCTTCCGAACTCGGCCGGGCGGCACAAGGCACTTGGAGAGCTTCGCGAGCAGGGTTTAGGGTTTAGGGTTTAGGGTTGAGGGTTTAGGGTTTAGGGTTTAGGCTTAGGGGTTTAGGTTGGGATATTCCCCCTTATACTAACAGTCCTTAATTGGGATTCTCAAGGGGGGGGGGGGGGGTACTACAATCATAATCCCTATGAAGGAGCGCTTATACAGTCCTTCCTTAATAGGGATTCTCATAGGGGGGGGGGGGGCTACTATAATCACTTAGTAGAGTAGGTAACCTTTAGCCTTTTTGGTGTAATACATTCCCCTTTCCAAAAGTCCCGATATAGGAGGTACTTTAAGGCCCAAAATCCAATATTTAGGGACGTGGACCCTTAGGGTTAGGGAACAATTTGCGCCTGCGGGGCTCCATAGGGACCTTATTCTTTTTGGCGTTGTTGGGGGTCAGGATGTGCTGATGCTTCACATCATGCCGCAGCCGGTGAAAGGTTCAGGAGTACCCTAAACCCTGTACACCAGATCAAAAAGCCCCCTGAGCCCCAAACTTCTGTTCTCGGGCTTGATGGTTGAAAACCCTAAACCCTAAACCCTAAACCCTAAACCCTAAACCCTAAACCCTAAACCCTAAACCTCAGAGGTGGATTCCGCCCGGACAGCGTGGAGCTGAAGCTTCCCAAAGGCTCTGCACCTTCGCGCTGACGTGCTTCCCCTACCTGCCAAGAACCAGTGAGCTGGTTGTTCACCCCCCTAACCCTAAACCCGAAACCCTAAACCCTAAACCCTAAACCCTAAACCCTAAACCCTAAACCCTAAACCCTAAACCCTAGCAATGAAGCCCTTAACCCTAAACAGGTCTTTTCGTAGAACAGTGGGCCCAAGTGAGATTGTGTTGGCGGCGTAGGCCCTGCCTTAGGCCCTCCTGGTTCTTAGAAGTTAGAAGGGTACCGTACATAATTTCTTACTTCTACTTACATAAGAACCCCAAAGCTAAGTACCAGCAACTAGGAGGTGAGCCAGGGCTAATGACATCTTCATGCAAGCATCTTAATAATCATACATCCATACATTGAGCTATCACAGTATCACATGATGGATTCATAACTCTTTGCACCGGCTCAGCTGATCTTTGGGACTGCCAAGGCCAGCTTTGGCTCAAGAGAAGAGGTGGAAAGATGCATGTCACAGCCCGATGAGGGCCGTAGCGCCTGCAAGGTCAGGTTAGCAGGGCATCTTAGTAGCTGAGTGAGTACTCTTTACCACTTTCACTTTTTTTTGGATGCCAGAATCCCCTATAGCAACTGAAAGTGTACACCTTTTGAGGCTTATCCCCTAAACCCTAAACCCTAAACCCTAAACCCTATGAACTCAGCAACTAAGGCGATGTTCTCCTCATACTGCTGCTGCTTGGCGGACGAGTCCGAAATGGCCGTGGACTTGCCCTTGTCACAGGTGGGGGTGGGTTTAGGGTTTAGGGTTTAGGGTTTAGGGTTTAGGGTGTAGGGTGTAGGGTTTAGGGTTTAGGGTTTAGGGTTCAGGGTTGAAACCCTAATATAGACCCCCAAATGGTAGGATCCCCTTATGAGAAGGACCACAAGAACTTACTTCGCCTTTAGTTGAAGGTTAAACTTGTCGGGAGTAGGAATATGAAAGTTTAATCTTTTTTCCACTTTGTATGGGAGAAGTATGACAAGGTACCCCAAATTAAACAAAAGATGCTAGTGCCCCTATCATAAGGACCACAAAGAAGGTACCCTAAACCCTAAACCCTAAACCCTAAACCCTAAACCCTAAACCCTAAACCCTAAACCCTAAACCCCCGATGTCGCAAAATCCCCAGGTTCTGCCAGACCGAGACGAGGCTTTTGGGCTGGTGACCGATGCACCCGAAGTGGGCTTTTTTGTCGCGCCTGGTCTCCAGGGTTTAGGGTTTAGGGTTTAGGGTTTAGGGTTTAGGGTTTAGGGTTTAGGGTTTAGGGTTTAGGGTTTAGGGTTTAGGGAAACCTGTGCCATGGTGGGGTAACATTTTACATGTTTAAGGGTACTTAAACTCGAAATTTAGATTTTTAATGCTATCCCCAGCCATGAACTAGCCATGAACTAGGAACGGACCCAATCCAAAGCGCATGCATGGCAAGACGGGATGCCCAACCAGCCCCCAAAGGCAGAATCGCTGTAGAATGTACAGGCCAAGAGTGCAGCCACGGACATTCTGTTATGGCTTGGGATGCTCCCCCTTATACCTAACAGTCCTTAAGAGGCATTCATAGAAAGGGTGCTAGAATCCCTATTCAGGACTGTTAGCATAAGGGGGAACATCCCGAGTTATGGGCTTTCTCAGTGCCAAGGTAGTCCTCGACCTGTTCCTGGAGAAGCCGAAGCTTTGTCATAGTTGGGCAACATTTTACATTTTTCAGGGTACTGAAACCCAAATTAAGGAATATAAATTTTGAATTTTCATACTATCCCAACCATGAGTCAGGAAGCCGTTAGGCTTGGATGTGGACAATGTGGATACCCGTGGCTCCATGATCACGGGCAGCGCGGCACTGACGAGCAATGCGTTCCTACATCCCCCCTGGGGAATTATTCTTATTTTTGTTCATATTCAACCCAAGAGGATATTAAACATAGTATTCTTTGAATGAAGGTTCTAAGGGGGACATAGGTTCGTGCCACTTAGAAGTAGATGACCAAAGCCCTAAGAGAAATGGACTAGCCGACCCCACTCAACACAATGTTGTTATCATTATTGCCATTATTATCAGTATCCGACTTTCCCTTATTCGATTATTATGTTGATGATTTTCTGGCCATATGTTTTAAGTACAATTCGATCATTCTCGTCAATGTGTTGTCATGCTTTTTCTGGGCTGCGACCAGTAGGGCTCAAGCCCGCGAGGTATCCACGAGGGCATCGTTGCCAACCACAACATGCGGCATCCAGGTCAGGCCATACGGCTATATGACACATGGCCAATGCCCCCTAAACCCTAAACCCTTAAACGCTTGCGAAAACGTGTGGGCAAAAAAAAAACACCTAAACCCTAAACCCTAAACCCTAAACCTTAAACCTTAAACCTTGCCTGCTTGTGCGAGTGCGAGAGTCGCAACCTGAACCCTTAAACCCAATGGTCCAATTGCAGGTTTCCGGGGTGAGGTCCAGGCCTTCGGGGCTTGGCGCTTTGAGGCTTCAGAGCCCTAGTTCTGCGGGAACACTGACACACCACAATCGTAATCAGTATGTAAGTATATAGTCGTCATATTCACAAAGTGAAAACTCAATATAGATAGTGCTGAAACAAGAGACCATAGTCTTCACAGTATAGCCACGTAACAGTATAAGAATAGAGTCATCGAATCTTAGACTCCTAGAAGCCTATTTCTAGTCGTTCTTTTAATGCATGATCATCGAATAGAACTTGTTGCATTTCAAAAGATAGCATGGCACAACGTAATGCCGCAGTACTATGGCAATATGCATCATGCAAGAACATTTTGAGTATAAATCATGTAGTTACACGAATATCATAGTATGACAAATCATATGGTAGTGTGGCCGTATGATCGTATCACAGTACAATTCCACATATATACTTATATATATACACATGTGTGTGTGTATGTTTGTGTGTGTGTGTGTTTTTCTTGTGTGTGTTATGGGTTTTGGACTGATCCTTCCTACAGCAATATACAGTTTGATGCTACAATAGTATACTCATCTACTCATGCAATATGAAAAATCCACCTAATACCATAGTAGTATCATACTACAACAATATAGCAAGACAATGGTGCAATCATTTAGGCCTATCAGAACATAGTAATGTGTCAATTCAAAGGAGGTGTGGGCCTGTAGCCGAAGAAACTGGCACCTTAAGTTGGAACACTTCGGACTCCCGGGGCTTATGAGGCCAATTTTCTGGCACTAAACCCTAAACCCTAACCCCCAAACATTAAACCCTAAACCCTAAATACCCTAAACCTTCGGGGAGGGTCGCAAAAAAACAAGCCCTAAACTCCTGTCGGGGAAACCTGGAGTCGAAAAGCCGAGGACTCGATCATCGGCCTCAATGGAGAGCTCGGGCCAATTAGCCAGCTACTGCGTGTGAAGATGTCCTCACTTCCGGCACCATGGGCAGCAAGTTCAGGGTTTAGGATTTAGGGTTTAGGGTTTAGGGTTTAGCGTTGGGGGACTCAAGAGCCTACTAAACCTTAGTAGGGAATGAGTGAATCGGGTACCCGATAACAAGCCTCTGGAAAGGGCACACGTAGGGGGCTATAGGGTCCCTTAGTAGGCTTTAGTGTAGTTTGACCTGACAGCAGATCCGCTCCTTAACCCGAGAACATCGCCACCCTGCAATGAAGGAATTTGCGAGCTCACTCTAGGGTTGGGCACCCCACACCCACTTTGGGGAGAATCTGTGCTTGGGCACTCCAGAGATTCTCTGGAGTTACTCTGGAGTTGGGCACTCCAGGGATCTAGAAATACTGTGAGCCAAGAGAACCACAGCAACAACGAGAACTTAAGACTTCAACAGGTGCACACGAGAAGCAAACACTACTCTATACCATACGGGGTCGAAAGAATTGTTAATAGTATTCCCTTGGCCCCTCTACAAGTATACTCTAGTAATCCCCAAAACCTTAGTAGTATTACATTCATTAGAGCTCCTATATTACGCCCCGCCCAAGTGGTTCAGGTGTCACCCCCCTTGCCGCGGCTGATGCTTGGCATCGTGCGGCCACAGCGACTGGAGGCCGACACAAATAAACGAGGCTTGCTGCTCTTTGCTTAAAGTAAAGGGTTTAGGGTTTAGGGTTTTGGGTTTAGGGTTTAGGGTTAAGAGTCGCCTAGAAAATGAAGATATTCTCCCAACAGGGGTTCTCAAGCAAATAGTAGCTTGTGGGCTCAGGGTTTAGGTTTAGGGTTTTGGGCATCGAGACTAGAGGGGTTAGGCGAGTAGGGTGTTGGGGTAGTCGGGTTTAGGTTTAGCTCTGGGGTTGTTTGGTTTGGGTTTAGAGTTTCAAGCAAACTATAGACCCAAAACCCTAAACCTTTTTCCGGGCCACCACGCCAACTTGGATAGGGATGATCATAGGGGGTACTATAATCCCTATGAAGGACTGTTAGTAAACGGGGGAACGTCCCAAGCCCCAAAACCCTAAAGGGTTTGCGGCTTCAGGGCCAACTGCAGTTTTTGTTTTGTTTCGTGGCCCGGAGCTTTGAGAGCTGCGCAGACTTGCTTGCCACCCCTTTTAGGGTTCAGGGTTTTGGACCCTAAACCCTAAACCCTCAAACTCGGCTCAGGGTTGAGGGTTTCAGGCAAGTGCCCGGTGATCTACAGAGGCCTGGTTGAAAAAAGGGTTGAGGGTTCTAGGGTTTAGGGTTCACACATACAAGACCAAACGGTCATACACACACAAGCAATCACCACAGCAAAGATACCCTAAACCCTAAACCCTAAGCCCCAGGAGCCCAAGGCGCCCAGAGAGTCCCACAACTCCTCAACTCCCTGGTGGCCAAAAGGTGCATCTACGGAAGCCAGGGGAGCTGGGCGTGCAGCTGAAGTATCCCCAGCTCTATTTAGGGTTATTAGGGTTATTAGGGTTATTAGGGTTATTAGGGTTACTAGGGTTATTAGGGTTATTAGGGTTATTAGGGTTTAGGGTTTAGGGTGTCGGTTAGGGAATGAGGGAATGAGGTACCCTTTATCCCCCTACCTCTACCATTAGATATGGTAACTGATTCCCTCGTTCCCTACTAAGAACCCGCCAGCAGAAGGGTGTGAGGGTGCTCATGATCCAGGTCCGGGGGCCATCTTGGGGGTTGTTCTAGGTTCAGGTCCCTGGCGACAAATCAACCCAATGATTCAGAACAACCCCCAACGCCCCCGCCCGTGCATAGGAACCCTAGACCCTAAAACCTAAACCCTAAACCCAGAGTTCAGGGCTTTCGGTCTGCAGTCTGCTCGCATGGTGTGTTAGAGGAAAGGGAGGTTCCTTGCGTGTGCCCGCACTGGCCTGCAGGGATCGAAGTTTAGGTTTAGGGCTTAGGGTTTAGGGCTTAGGGCTTAGGGTTTAGGGTTTGGATCGAAGCGTGCATATGAGGTACACCAACTCCTCGGCGGGCATCGTCATTAGCCACCTCAGCGACGAGGGCCTGCTAGAAGCTAGGCCGGCCCTTGGGAGAAAGTTTTCATGTCCTCTTATTTGTGTTGAGGAGGATCAGATTTCACAATATGTTTTCCGAGTGTAGTGTTTTAGGGTTTAGGGTTTAGGGTTTAGGGGTTGGGGGCTCTAAGGGCCATCCGAGGCAGACTGGAACGCTTCGCATCCCGAAGCCTGCCTGCGCCCGGGCGATCGCATCATCGATGCTTCGGTCTGCAACCTGGGAAAAGCTTAGGTCGCCGAAACCCTCAACCCTAAACCCTAAAACCCTCAACCCTCAAGCCCCTGTAACTTGAAATTCTTACAACAGAAACTCCTCGAAACTTTACCCTTGATAATTTCAATAAAATAACATGGCCCAACCTGGCAGCTTTCTCACCGTCGAGCCTTCTGAGGAGGACCTGGCCGGGTGATTTAGAAAGCCGGTTTAGGGTTTAGGGTTTAGGGTCCTGACCATTCCCGGCCGACTCCCCAAGCCCGGATGCAAAAAGGGTTTAGGGTTTAGGGTTTAGGGTTTAGGGTTTAGGGATGCTGCAGGTTTAAGTGACACATGTGAGTTTAGGGTTTAGGGTTGTATCCCTGAACTCCCGAAGCCCTCTAGAATTATAGGTTTTTTGGGACCGAATTAGGAGCAGACAGACCCTAATTTGGGGAAATTCAGGTGGGTTCAGAGGGTTAAAGTGCTGGCCAAGCTAGGGACATCAAAACACTAAACGTCAACAAAAAGGGCTCTAGGGTTTAGGGTTTAGGGTTTAGGGCATCCCTAAAGCCTTCTCAGGAAGTGAACGGATGCGCCCTGAACGGACGTGCGATGCTGGAGCAGATTCGTCGGGAGATCGAGCTGCAAATCACAGTTCTCCACTTCCCCGACACAGATGCTCCGCGATTTAGGGGTTTAGGGTTTAGGGTTTAGGGTTTAGGGCTTAGGGTTTAGGGCTTAGGGCTTAGGGTTTAGGGTTTAGGGTTTAGGGTTTAGCCCAGTGGTACCCTTTACCCGTTCTTTGGGTTCATGGTTCCCTTATTAAGTAACCAACGCAAAAAAGGGTACCCTCATTGCAATATGCTTACTGGGCTATCAAGTAGGGTTTAGGGTTTAGGGTTCAGGGTCTCTCAACAAAGACATGGTAAGCGCACACAAGAAGATATAAGTAAACCCTAAACCCTAAATCCTAAACCTAAGGCTTTAAATGCAATCGTGCACTCAAGATTTCGGACGTCGGGTCCAGCAACGGTTTGGAAGCAACGGGCACTTTTTTTCTGGCACCACAATCATAAAGAACCTGTAGTTTACGACAATCACTATTATATGGGTAATACTGTATAACTGGTCTAATGCCTTCTTAAGGTCAGATCATCCAAACCATAAACCTCAAAAACAAACCAAGCCCTAAACAACCCTGAACCCTGAACCCTGAACCCTAAACCCTAAACCCTAAACCCTAAACCCTAAACCCGAACCCAAAAACCCCTAGATCTTTAGAAGCCCCGAGTCGTTCAGGATGAGCAGGGTCGGGACTGGACTCTCTTTCAGAAGCTGAAGCCGAGCGCCAACGGCTAAGCGCCGCTTGTGGAAGCACAAGGTTTGGGGTTTCTAGGGTTGAGGGTTTAGGGTTTCTAGGGTTTCTAGGGTTTCTAGGGTTTCTAGGGTTTCTAGGGTTTCTAGGGTTTCTAGGGTTTCTAGGGTTTCTAGGGTTTCTAGGGTTTCTAGGGTTTCTAGGGTTTCTAGGGTTTCTAGGGTTTATAGGGTTTAGGGTTTACAGTGTTTAGGCTTCACGGGGCTTAGGTTTTTTTTAGGGTTTGTAGGGTCGAGCTCACAGGGTTTATAGGGTCAATAGGGTTCATGGGGTTCATAAGGTTTTGGGGTTTACTCCAGCGTCTTCTTTCTGTTTAGTCCCTTCTGTCTTTATAGAGTTCTTATGGGAGGGTTGTTCAAGGGGGGTATGGAACCCGAGGTTCACCGAATGCTCCCCGCTACTCCCTAATTAATGCCCCCCCCCAAGCTTCCCTAAGGCTCCCGAGATACCGAAACCCTGAACCCTAAACCCCCCCATGAACCCCCTTTCCTTAAGAGCCCTAAACCCCTAAACCCCCCTATGAACCCCCTTTCCTTAAGAGCCCTAAACCCGAAACCCTAAACCCTAAACCCACGGGTGGCCAAAAAAAAGCCCTGAACCCTAAACCCTACATAATGTCTGCAAGGAGATCCCCCCTAAACCCTAAACCCTAAACCCTAAACCCTAAACCCTAAACCCCACAAAAAGCTGCAACCAGCCAAGGGGGTGGCATTGGCAGCGTGGCCCGGGTCGAACGTGGCCTGGGCAGGCCCCTTGAAGCAGCATAGGGTTCAGGGTTTATAGGATTTAGGGATTATAGGGTCTACAGGGTTTAGTGTTGATAGGGTTTATAGGGTTTATAGGGTTTATAGGGTCTATAGGGTTTATAGGTAGGGTTTAAGGTTTAGGGTTCAGGGTTTAGGGTTTAAGGTTAGAATTTCGGGTTGCTTCAAGTCTTTGAATGGCCTTCACCGTAGCCAAGTCTAAAATGCATGTGGGTGGAAGTGGTCTGGCCAGTGTAGTCGCCATAGTTCAAAGTCACTTTTCCTGCACCACATGGGTGAGCCTTGACATTGGACTCCCTGGCACCGCATCTCCAATTAAACCCCACATAAGTTTCCTGATAGCAGGCCCATTAAGCCATATACTTTCTCAGACAAAAGTCCTTATGGTCTTTGAGCTGGGAGCATGCATCCCACCCAACTCCAAGTCAACAGGATTCAGCGCGGTATTTCTGATCTTAAGCGGGAGCATAACTGTCGAGACCCACCCATGCCCTCCGCAAAGCGGAGAAGATGTAGCTGGCGATGACACCTGACAGGAAGCGCCGTCAGACTAAAAGAATCGCAAACCCATCTTGCCGGTTCTGAGTGGCAGTTGGGGAGTTAGTTGTCGTATATAGCGCCTCTTTGTTCTTAGGTTGACTCAGTTGCAAAGGTCGAAGATCACCAAGACTGGCCGGTTCTGAGCAGGGGAATGAGGGAATGAGGGCCCTATATAATCCCTTAAAGGGTATATAAAGGGCACTCATTCCCTTTAGAACCAAGGGGCAGAAAGGGTTTCAGGTTAGGCAGGGCCATTGGACCTGGAACAGGTTGGTTTGCTATATGCTTCACCGGCCTGCTCCACTTGCAGTTCAGTAGTAATTACCCTAAACTAGTAGGTCTAGCAGTAAAGAGGGTCCCAGGTCAGGTAAGCCCCATATACATCAAAGAGGGCTCTACATGTCGACGACCCTGAACCCAAGATCGCAACGGCCACCGGAAATCCCCCTCAGGTTGCAGGATGGGCGATTAGGTCGTATCATGCCCATCAGCAATCCTCTCAAGGGCCCTTTCAGGGGGGGGAGGTAGAGGGTACAATAGCCTGCGTGGCTTTTGGAAGCTTAACCCTACACCCTAAACCCTAAACCCTAAACCCTAAACTCATCCGGAGCAAATGCACAGAGAACGCCTGCCTCGCAGGCGGCAACGTCCGGGAGGAATTTCGTGAGGCAGACTTGGGGTGTGATGTCGTTGTGGTTGAGCGGCGTTTGGGGTTGAAGGCAAAAAGGGCTTAGTGTTTAGGGTTTAGGTTTTAATAATCAAGCTTTAGGGTTTAGGGCTGTGAGAGAGAGAGAGGGTTTAGGGCTGCAGATATGCTGCATGGAGCATTCAGACGCTTAATGAGGCTGACCCGTGCCGAAACCTCCCCAGCTAAAACCCTCGCGCCCTCATCCCCGAAACTCCTAGTGCCCGACTCCCCTAAGAACCCATACAAGCCCCAACACCCTAAGCTGTCTAAGGTTGGAACCATATTATGGGCCCTTAATTAGTATGGTCCCTTACCTTTGTTTCTAGAGGGATCCAAAGTATGGGCCCTTTTCATGTATAGTGTATATAAAGGCTATACAGCAAGGGTTCCCAAATAAAGGGCCCATACTTGGAACCCTCGACATTCCCTAACCCTAAACCCTAAACCCTAAACCCTAAACCCTAAACCCTAAACCCTACACCCCACGTAGTATAAGGGGGCCTAACCCTGAACCCGAAACCCTAAACCCTAAACCCTAAACCCTAAAGATGACCGCGAAAAGCGGAAGGCGCGGAAGCTCCGGCAGCGGCAGCGGCAGGCAGCCCTGGGCGGCACCCCAGCAGCGGGTCAAGGCAAAGATTCCCCCCCCCCCCAGGTCTCCGCCCCACCTGCAGCCCTTATTTGGTTTAGGGTTTAGGAGTTTAGGGTTTAGGGGGTTTAGGGGGTTTAGGGGGTTTAGGGGGTTTAGGGGGTTTAGGGTTTCGGGTTTCGGGTTTGGGGTTTGGGGTTTAGGGGATCCCTAAACCCAAAACCGTCCATGATCCCGTGGATCGAGGGTTGAAGCTTGAGCCTAAAACCTAAGCCCAAAAACCCGAAACCCTAAACTCAAAACCCTAAACCCTAAGCCCAAAAACCCTAAACCCAAAACCCAAAAACCCTAAACCCAAAAACCCGAAATGGGGGCCCTCCTAAGATTGGCCTTCATGAGGGCACTCCGCCCATCTTTGACCTGGGAGAAGCCTTTGGTAGCCCAGTGGTACCCTTTCCCTAAACCCTAAACCCTAAACCCTAAACCCTAAACCCTAAACCCTAAACCCTAAACCGGTTTTTGGTTCAAGGTTCCCTTATAAAGTAACCAACCCAAAAGAAAGGGGTGCCCTTATCATAATATGGCTACTGGGCTACTAGGGGCAGAAGCCGGGTGGGTTCAGAATTCAGGGAGGCAAACGGGGGGGCTTGGGGTTTAGGGTTCTTAGGGTTTAGGGTTCGGTGAAGTCGCATTCCTCGTTTTTTGGCAGTTGCATAGCGGGGTTCAAAAAAGGGTTGAAGGTTTTTTTTTTCCACTCCTCCCCTTCGTGAGACTTCTCCCATGCCCATGGCACGCGTCCGTCACAGCAATGCCGCGCCCTCCCGCCAAAACCCCCACAAAGCGCAGCAACACATGCCAGCAACGTGTAAGGCCAGATGTTTCGAGCACCCGAAAATTTTACTGCACGGCGGCGGTACCCTAAACCCTAAACCCTAAACCCTATTTTTTCTGCGTGCCTAAGGGTCCATGTGCCTAAATGATTTAGGGACTTTGGCAACTTTGGGGCCCCCAGTAGATTTAACACTGAGGTACAAATAACCCTAAACCCCAAACCCCAAACCCCAAACCCCAAACCCCAAATGGAAAAGGCCCGAAACACCTCTGGGGGTTGGCAGAACGCCCGTCGCATGCCCTTGAAGTTTAGGGTTTAGGGTTTAAGGTTTAGGGTTTAGGGTTTGAAGCTCATGGTGATGTGCCTCCTTGACCCCAAGAGACGTGGAGCGCGCAGTCCCAGATGCCCTCTAGAGAGGCCCGACCGACATGCCCCCGAAACCCGAATCGCGATTCCTTCGCCACAGATGATGCCACCCACTTCACACCCACTTCGTGGGCCATCGCTGGCCACTTTGAGGAGGCAGGATCTACCTGGCACTCTCTTTCTTGCATACAGGTTTACAGGTCATACCTACGAATTTTAAGGGGTAGATACTGCAAATCTCTAGGCAAAAAAGTGTCCCAGGTCTATAGCCCAATCAGACAAGCTGAGTAGCTTTCTGTGGGCGTCTGCGACTTTCTTCGTATTTGCGTCGAAACCCAGAAGCTTGGTTGGAAGCCTCTTGGGATGCAGCGGAAGAGAGTGGAGAGAGGGCCGGAAAAAAGTGCTACACCAGGTTACACATTCTAAACGGGAAGTCCGTACAAAAACGGAACCTCCCTTGTGGCGATCATTTTTGGGGACAGGTGTCTTGATCAGCCATTGCGGGCCGGAGTTGACAGTGCTTGCAGACCGAACGAAGATGCCAAGGCAAACATTCGCGGTTCTTTTGAGGTACAGCAGGCAAGATGAGAACTTGTGGTCATTTTGATGTCGTTTTTTTTGCAGGAACCGTGTGAAGGTTCCAGATCTAATTTTCTGGGTGAGGTTTCAACCAAACAACACGCACCGAAGTAGCTTTCCCGGCGCACAATCCCTGTACAGCTTGCACAGAGATCCTCCCCGGATACATCACTGTGAGATCGTGAGGATCGCGAAAAACTGTCTTGCCCTGATGCACGCCGTCGTTTGTTCGTGGTGCTGTTCGTGTGGCTGACACCTTAAAGAGTGCACATGTCTCCGGCCGCACGTTCTTTGGACAACCACTCGCTCACGCAAACTCAGGTTCAGAAACATCCTGCCATCCCTGTCTTATTCCCACACACACCCATTATCACCAAGAATGACACTTCCTGTTGCTTTAGGTGTTGATGATTCTCCGGACTCTTTTTTCCATGGTGCCATATTACCACACAATTCACAATAGACAGTAGGCTACCAAGTCAACGATGCTTCCCAGCAACTCCCGGAAAGGGGCTGGCTGCCCAGCGCGCTGAGGCCAGGCGCAAGTAAGAGCGGCCGCATGCTAAGGCTCAATAGGTAAATAGAAAATGAATAGATAAGTACATGTTAAAAAGGTACAGATATGTATGTATATATATATATATATGTCTATATATATATATATATATACGTACGATAATCCTTGCGAAGCCTGGGCTTTATGCCTGCATCTCGCTATATATATATATATACACACACATGCATAACGGCACGCCCGTCGTGAAATGAACAAATCCCAGGGTGTGTAGTCGTATGGTCGCTCACCGATACCACGACCAGCGTGTTGCATTCTTTCTTGCTTTCCCCAAAGAGCCCAATATCCCTTAATTAGGGAATATTGCTTAATTTATATAGGGATCCTTAATATGATTTAAGGGATATTCCTTAATTAAGGGATATTGGGCTCTTTGGGTCCCTGAACTCGAGGCGCGCCTCCAGCGCCAGCGCGCCGTGCAGCATGGGCTTGCAGGAAATGGCGGTGTTCTACCATACCCTAAGGGTCCATGTACCTAAATAGGGAGTACTTGGGCCTTAAAGTACCTCCTATATAGGGACTTTGGGGCCTAAGTATTCCCTATTTAGGTACATGGACCCTTAGGGATAGAGCGAGGGAAGGAAAAGGTATCTGCAGTTTGAATCTGGACTGGCTGGCCTGAGTTAACAGCTAGCAACCCCAAGCGCGCTGCTATCAGGATGTTGTTGCTGTGAAGCCCAAAGTCCTGCGCGGCAAATTCCAGCTTGGCTTGTGGCAACGACACGGCATAACAGTTACCCTACATAGTAAGGCTCCAAATAGTCTAAAGTAGGTAGTATTTACAGACTTTAGACCCCAAAGTAGGTATTATTTGAATACTTGGAGTAGGGTTAGAGTTCAGGGTTGAGGGGTGGTTATTTCAGGTGCGATTCAAAGTCGTGCAGCGTGGCAAATTCCGGCTTGGCTTGTGGCAACGACGCAGCATAACAGCCCTGAGGATCCATGTACCTATATAGTATATACTTGGGCCCTTAACGCTACTAATTATACGAATCCGTTTAGGGTTTAGGGTTTAGGGTTTAGGGTTTAGGGTTTAGGGTTTAGGGACCCCTTTGAGGCCCAAGTATATACGAGATAGATGCATGGATCCTTAGGGACAGTTCATAAAACACTTGAGCTCCTGAGCCGCCGCGCGTTCTCAAGTCTGGGACGCTGTAGGTAGGGTTTAGGGTTTAGGGTTTAGGGTTTAGGGCTTAGGGGCTTTGAGGGTTCAGGAGTTTATGGACCGCTTCTTACATGTACTCATATGCATCTGTAGCTATTTAGTCAGTCGCTAAACCCTAAACCCTAAACCCTAAACCCTAAACCCTAAACCCTAAACCCCAGAGTCTGACACAGACAGGCTATGACCAAATGCCTAAAGAGGCTGTGCAAAGCCCTAAGGCTCCAAGTAGAGAAATAATCAATACATTGGGGTCTAAAGTCTGTAAATACTTCCTACTTCGGGCTATTTGGAGCCTTAGGGAAGGACTCGAAAGTGGCGGCTATTGCTGATAAGGTTTCAGAGCATCTCCACGCAAAATGTGCAGGTGGCTTTCGGTGCGGGTGCACAGGGTATTCTCGCTGCAATATAGCATTTCAGGTGCAGGGCTTGAGTTTCACCATCCCTCTTTGTGTGATGGATGATGTGTCAGACACATCGCTCTTCCTTCGCCTGGGCGGGCGGCAAAACCTGGACAGGATCGTTTACGAACTCTACGACTCCCGGCCGAAAAATGCCCGCCACCTACCCTCCCCCCCCCCGCCCCCCAGACCCTGAATTTGCCCTAAATTTTCAATATTTCTACCATGCCCTTTGTCCCTCGGTTAAGCCCCCCCCCCCCCCCCTCCTACACCCTAAACCCTAAACCCCAAACCCTAGACCCTAAACCCCAAACACCAAACCCCAAACCCTAAACCCTAGAAACCCAAAACCGTTTTGAGAGCTGAGGACCTGATGCGTTATGACAGCCTCCTGGGCCCACAGTTCGAGAGGCCTACGGGGAGCCCCAGAAACCTTCAAAAGAAGGGGTTTAGGGTTTAGGGTTTAGGGTTCCGGGTTTAATGAGGGTTCAGGTTTCATTGTTGGGTGGCAGATCGCGGGTTATGAATGGGTGTAGTGTCCCTAAACCCCTCAGATTGCAGCAAAGGCTCTTCAGCATCATCCCCTTACAAACCCCCAATCCCCCAACAGGTATATCGGGATTTCCCCAGGAAGGGTTACCCCTAGTATACCTTACAAACCGCCAATCCCCCAACAGGTATATCGGGATTTCCCCAGGAAGGGTTACCCCTAATAAACCCAAACATACCCCCCCCCCCCATATTTAATCTAATGATCCGAAGCGCGTTCTCACGCTATGCCTTAGAGGAGGGAGCTTGGTCGTTGGGTCTTGCTTCGTTGTCTTTGTTCTTGTGTGTGTGTAGTGGATTGTACGAAAAGATGCTCAACCATAAACCCTAAACCCTCAACCCTAATCCAGGTTCGCCAGGACCGACGCCACCTTTCTGCGGCTGAAGGTGCGAACAGCAGACTTTCTCGAGTGGTTGCTCGGTGGCCCCTACGTATATGACGGTCCCGACTTGTTCGTGGCCCACGCGTCCATGCACATAGACGCCGGGGCAAGCCTCAAGACAAGTTTTGATGGTTTTGCAAGAATGCAATTTAAAAAACAGACCTGACAATTGATTTCTCCTGCCTGCGGAGATAAACACAGACCGCAGCCAAGGATGACTTGTCCTACACGCAGATGATGAAGTTGTACAAGCAGGTCCTCGTGGACATCGATGACATTGATGATCTGACCAAGCAGGAGTTCCTGACTGTGCTTCTAGATCAGTGTTAGGGATCCTTTTTACTTTTTGGGATATGGGCTTTCTTATATATGAACAAAAAGGATCCTTTTTTCTTCCTAGGGGAACAGGGATTAAGGCTTGAGGCGCAGCGAGCGCCCGTTGTAGATCCGCACAAAGAGTTTGAAAGGGAATCTTGGTAGCCCACTGGTCCCCTTTTACTCTTTTCTTGGTTCCGGTTTCCCTTCTATAAAGTAACCAACCGAAAAAAGGGTGCCCTTATTAGAATATGGTTACTGGGCTACTAAGGAGTATGAGGAACGCTGGCAGCAGATCATGAAGGAGCGCGAGATTCGCGAGAAGAAGTACGGCAAGAAGAGCCTCTGCGAGCTAAACAACTGAGATGTGCGACTTGCATGCGGGGCATTCTACAGTTGCAAACGTAAAAGCAGACCCTAACCGTAAACCCCCTCTCTCTACAGCCCTTTGACTCTCGCTCGATTTGTTTGGTTTCCTTCCATATATAACTCTCATTGCATTTCAGGGCCTGGCACCCCTCTCAACTTTTCAAAACAGCTACGACCCTCTTTACCCACAGTTTTTTGTGGGTCATACCTACTAGCTGCAGGGACATAGAGTCCCCGGTAGCCGTTGACCTTCAGGTCATCCCTAAACCCTAAACCCTAAACCCTAAACCCTAAACCCTAAACCCTAAACCCTAAACCCTAAACCCTAGCAAAAAGAGAGTCCCCTGGCCCCCCGGGGCCCTCCTTGCCCGAGGAAGTTCAAGTCATTCGAGACACGCATCCTGGAGCAAGAACGTGCCATGGGAAACCCACCAGCGCCTTGGGGACCAGATAAGAACCCTTGAAATTCGAAGATAGGGGGTCATACACCCTATATCCTACTAGAATCCTGATTAAGGGTATATGAACCCTAAACCCTTTTCAATATACCCTACACTACTATAGTCTCCCCTAAACCCTAAACCCTAAACCCATTTAGGTATATGAGCCCTGAACCCTTTCAGGGCTCATTTGGTCCGCAAGGCGCAGGACTTCCTCGAAGTCATGGCGCGCACGGCAGGACAGGCCTCCCAGGTGTCGCTGCACCGGCCAAGCCCTGCATACAAGGTGGGGGTTTAGGGTTTAGGGGTTAGGGGTTTAGGGTTTAGGGTTTAGGGTTTAGGGCTTCATACCTGGGACTCTCTTTACCTACAGGTTTTGTGGATTATACCTACGAATTCAGGGGTAGCTACTAGGTTATACTTACCACTACTAAACTGTAGGTACGGTAAATAGAATCCCGGGTATAGCTTACCATTTTGGAGTGGATACAGTAAGATGTCTCAAGGTAGATTTCAACTGTCCTGCCAAGTAAGTCACCTCAGTTTGTGTGTGTGTGTGTGTGTGTGTGTGTGTCTGTGTTCGGGTTTAGGGTTTAGGGTTTAGGGTTTAGGGTTTAGGGTTTCGGGAGCATGTAAACGATGCAATTGTCATCGTGCCAGCTGACTTACAGAGTCTGGGTTCAAGAAAAGGGAGTGCGAGAGCCCGTCCCTTGCAGGCAGATGCTTCGCCGACCTTGACCCCAGAAAGGGAGCCTGCCGCGCGCACGAAGCGCAACTTAGTAGCCGAATAAGTACACTTTACACTGTTTTGGGATACTAAAGTTCCTTTTAGAACTGAAAGTGTACTTTTTGGGGGTGCTTATGAACCAGCAACGAAGGCAAGAAGAAGACAAACCCACATGTCGACCCTGACACGCTGCTGGCGGCGGCGGATTTCACGCCCTGCCCGGATGAGGCGCCCATGTCGCCTCCCTTACAGCAGCCTGTCGTCCTCCTCTGCGGGCCGCCTTAAGGGAGCCCCTGCGTTTTCAATGGCGCTGCAGCAAAAGAGACAAGGAAAGGCGCAGTTCTTCTTAGCATGTGATTACAGTGAAGCCAGAATTGTGTAATCCGTGAGCGAAATCCTAGCGGAGCCCTTTGAGCCCTGGTTCTCTGGTTTAGTTGTGACGACGTGAAAACGACCCTAAACCCTAAACCCTATACCCTATACCCGATACCCTATACCCTATAAACCCCAATCCCTTGGCCACCATCGGCATCATGGGCCACTCAAGTGAGGTCAAGCAACTTTCCCATCGACTCGCCGAACTCCTCCCGCGATTGGGAACCCTTCCCGCGTACGGAAGCCCTGCGTTCCTACAGGGTTTCTGCGCCTTCGGAAGGTTTAAGGGCCGTTGTCTGGGATCAGCTCACTCACGGCCGGTAGCTGGGGCATCAGAGCAGAGAGTTGCTGCTTGAGCCTGCGCGAGTCAACAAGGTTTCTTTGGCGTTTAGGGTTTGGGGTATAACCGGGATGTTGGGCATTTGCACGACAAGCTGGGCAAACTCTTGCGGTGCGATCGCTTGCGAGGTATACGCAGGCTAGTTAGGATGTTGAGAGCCTTCTTTCCTAGCACTGGGGAGGAGAATGGCGAGTCTCGGTTTTGGAGCCCTGGGCCAATCGCTTTGCCTTCGCCGGTCGTCCTAAGGCGGCGCTTGTTGCAGCTGACTGCGTGGACCTCAGGAATTCTTCGATGGACTCAAGAGGGGTCCTGTTTGCCAACCCACAACTAAGAACCCCCAAAAGAATGAACAATATTCGTCCTCATAAGGGCAATACTGGGATTTCTTAATTTCTATTTAAATTGGGATTCTTATTAC